ACAGTTTTAAGGAATAAGGCCAAAGGATACAGTCTTGGGAATTTTAACAGAAGAATACAGGCTGGAAAATGTTTAGATAGTGCAACTTCTTGGAACTTCTCAATTTCCTTATGAGGTTTATGGTAATGTGTTCACTTTAGGATACAATCTTTCCAGATCCCTGGAAGTCCCAAGTAGAAGCTAACAATTCTCTTATATCTATAACCACACCATCCGGAAATTATTTTCTTTTCTTTTATGGTTTCAGACTGCCTTTAATAAGTGCTGTATTTGGATCTAGCATCAAGGGTTTGGGTACCATTAATGTAAGAAATATCCAAACCTGTAGAGAATTTTGTAAGAGTTTCTTTGAGCCAAACTGATGACATATGCTGGAGAGCAAGATCTCAAAAGTTCCAGAGAATAACAGGTTTGCAGCTTCTTTTATGAACCTGAAATGAAGGAGGGAGCAGAAGTTTACATGAAAGTAGGAGGAAACAATGTGGGGATCGGATTACAGGATAGTTCATAAGATTATGTGCTCTCTTGAGGGTCAAAACTCCCTCTCAGGGGTATTTCAAAGATATGTTAATTTAGATGCATAAGAACAATGGAAGGGCTGGTTTAAAACCTTTCACTGAAGAAATTAACAAGATTATGTGCTCTCCTGAGGGTGATTACACCTTCAAGGGGTCTGGATAAGAGGATAGCTTCTGTCCTTTTAAGGGTGTTAATCCATTTCACAGGGACAATGGACAAGGCTCGCTTAAAAAATGTTTACTAAACAAGATATAGACCTAGAGTGTGACTACCCACCATGACCAGTTAGAAATGTATGATCAGGTCATCCTGGGAGATTACTTTCGGTCATGGAACTTGTACATACCCCTTTTTTCCATCCACAATGAGCAAGTATAAATTTAAATTTAAAATAACAGCTTCTGGTAGAATGGAAGTGACTTTTTTTTTTCTTTTTTTTAATGTTGTTGCTTCCTATTGGCATCCTATTCCAGAGATTCTTTCATTTCTGGTAGGCTAAAACATATTCTATACATATATGGTTTCTGGTATGCAGATGATTTCTGGTCAACATCTTTATTTTTTCTTTAATCACTATTTATGTGCAATGGAGAGAATAGATGCAACAATTTCATGAAAGAAAAAAAAAAATCTATGGAAGTTACAAGTTGTAAACTTTCCCTCTGGTTTTAGACCATCCTAAACACTGGACAGATATTTATATATGCCTGTAGCTTGATTTTACCTGGAAGTGTGATTAAATGTAATTAAAATGCCCAACACAAGAATATAGGTCACAGATCAGAAATGGATGTTTACTCTGTGAACCTGAAATGGACTTTGGATCTTTTTTCTCCTTCTAACAATATAGCTGTGGTTTATTGTCCACAACCCTTGCACTCAGTACCAGTCCCTGGAAAAATACCACCACCCATCCCCTGCCCCTCCCTCCAAACACACACACACAGAAAAGCAGCCTAACTTCTATATATACAACTTTTATTTGCACATCTGCAGTTCTTAGCTTAGAGCAATGGTTCTCAACCTTCCTAATGCCACAACCTTTTAATACAGTTCCTCATGTTGTGGTGACCCCCAACCATAAAATTATTTTCGTTGCTACTTCATAACTGTAATTTTGCTACTGTTATGTCTTAGGTGACCCCTGTGAAAGGGTCGTTCGACCCCCAAAGGCGTCACGACCCATAGGTTGAGAACTACTGGCTTAGAGACTCTTACATTCTGTAGATTTCCCCCCACACACACACACCTTACAATACTTACCATGTCCTTGGACTGTAGCATGATAAAATTGTACTTAATGCTCATGAAAGCACCCACACACCAAATTCCTGTAATAGGCTTCAGCATGAAGTGTAATCATATTTAGTTTCAAAGTTCAAACACAATTTTCTATTACAGATAAGCATGTACCCACAGAGCAGGGCAGGACAGCTGATGACAGAAAAATGTCAAGGGGGTAAAAGCCTCTTCTGCAAGAGTAGACGCAACTCCATCCCCATCTGTGTTACCTCCTTAAACAGGACCAGACGACTGGCCTAACAGTCCTCTACAGATGTACTTACCCTGCTGGACCCTGAATGTCTGCCTTCTTCCCCTAAAATCTGCTCTTTCCTCTGATCTTTGAAACTATTTTTAAGTTCTACCTGGTTGTTTTCCTGCCATGTATAAACTGACTAGCTATGCAATTTTATATGGAAGTTACTTACCTCATTTAAAAAATACTGACCAGAGGCATGGCAGTATAATTAGGGATAAATAAAAGTTTTGCTTAGCATTTGAGAAGCAAAGAATAGCCTTTATCGAAGAAAGTAGGAATTCACATATAGAGTCATGTGAATTCACCATTCAAACTGGGGAAGTGGTAAATAGTTACATGTTTTAAAATGATCAAATAGTGAAAGGACGGATTTCTTTCAAGACACAACAAGAAAAAAGGAATACTGTTTAAGAGCAATTGAGAAAAAAGCTAAGTAGAAACAGATATGGATGCCATTTTCTTTAAAGAGTCAGCACAGAATTTATAGTTGGATATTCCCTTCAAGAACAGATTATTATAACAAAACAAGAAAAATAAAATAGGTGTATGAGTTGGTCACAGTGATCCTTGTAGAAATATCAGAAGTAGCAGTAAATGTCAAAATGTCAAAAATATATCCACCCCAGGGAGGCTATAAGGTCTTTTCTTCATCCATTCACCTGAAGAGCTCCAGTTCATCCTTCAAATCCCAGCCCCAATGTCACCACCTCTGGGAAGCCGCTGCTGATACTGCCAAGAAGCCCCTAGTGCCTCCTTTGTGCTCCCTGGAACCTCACCCATGGCTCTATTATATCATTTCCCCCTGTTTATGGATCACTTCCATTTCTGCTGCCTCTCCTCTCGCTCTAAGACGCAGAACTGTAACTCGTTTTTCTTTGTATTCCTGGTGCCTGGCAAAGGTGAGAGACATCTATCCATTCCATTAAGATCTGCTAAGATGCTTCACATAGAGGCAATCATGTGTCTACATGTATTTTGAAGAATAGATAAAAATCAGCAAAACACTTCTACAAAGAAGCAGATATCCGTTTGCTAAGTACAGATAAAAAACTTGATTATTATATATAAAGCAAACATAGGAAGATTCTGAAAGTTGGAGAGAAGACAGAGTAGAGTACCTGGGACCCAAAGAACAACACTGTGATGAGCTCCTGAGTTTTCTTGTTAGTTCATATATCCCAGATTGGAAGTAACAAAGTCAGCAACCTGAAAAATCTGAGTACAGACAAAAAGCCCTAAAAATGGGCTGCACTTTCTCTCTCTAGCCAGAGAAGCAGAAGAAGAGTAACCTAGCAAGAGAAAACACAGTAACTGCTCTACTTCAGCCAAACACCACAGAAAAGACCACAGAGGGGGGAGACTAGACTTCTACCCTTGTCAAGCTGTGAACAGGTGCTCCAAATCTCCTGCCAGGATGGTGATAAAGAAGGCGGAGTAGGGAACTGGTAATTTCCTTCCCACCTGGTGATGATAAAGCTTCCTCTGCCACCTCGTCCAGTGTCAGTGGAGACCACATGGGGGCAGTATAGGACACCCTGCACATCTTAGCCAGGAAAGCATCAATGGAGGCCAAGTAGAGAGCTGAATTCTCACCATATCCAGTAGCAACAAGACTCCCCTCTCACCCTCTCACCCCATGTGTCAATGGAGGCTGAGTAGGGAACACACCTATCAATAATGAGGCAGTGGCCGCAATTCTATGCTGGTATTAGAGAAACCCAGATAAAACAGAAGGTTTAAAGAAGGTGCACAGTCATAGAACACAATATCTAAAATATCAGATTTCAGTTGAAAATCATTCATCACACTGAAAAACAAGACAATCTTTTTTAATGGAAAAAGACAATAGATGCCAACATAAAGATGACACAGATGTCAAGATTATCTGACAGGGATTTCATAGCAGCCATCATAAAAATGCTTCAAAGAGCAATTGCAAACATTCTTAAAACAAATAAAAAAATCACAAAGTTTCAGCATAGAGATAAAAGTTATCAGCAAAGAAATAAAAGATACAAAGAACCAAATAAAAATTTTAGAAATAATAATACAATAACTGAAATATTAAAAACAACAACAAAAAGTGAATTAGCTCAACAGTATAATGGATTAGACAGAGAAGGGAATTAGTGAACTTGAAGACAGAACAATAGAAATTACCCAATTTGAACAACCGAGAGAAAATAAAACACTTAAAAAAAAAAATAATGTACTGAACTTCAGAGATCTCTGGGATTAAAACAGAAAACAATGAAACATTCTAAATTATTAAATAATTTTCAGATGCAAATTGAATTATCTAAAGGCCTCTCTGGCCCTGAGGCTATTGAAGAATAAGTATCACCTAAAGGACAAATACAAATCTTTGGTGCACTAACAAAACTCTTAAATTAGACCCAGGTAGCCTAAAAGTGAATGTAACCTTTGAAAGTTCACAGGTTGGCAATAAAGGATATAGTCTATGCAGAGGATAAATCAAGGTCATTTGTTATGACCAACACAAAGATACAAAGTGATGGGAACATGTTCTCTTCAAATCTATGGAACTTCAAAATGTACAGCTCAGCACAGTATAGTTCTGCTGCTGGTGGGGTCATTTTTGTGTACAGAGGAAAACATTCCTACCATCTTGATGAAAAATGCTACCTTACATGTGTTAACAGGTTTTCTGAAGTTTCACCAAGGTAAGACATTTTTAAATCTAAAAAAGAAAAATACATTTAGAGCTGTTTTCAACCTATGTTAATTACTGTGAGAAGGATGGAAATATTTTTCTTTTTTGGTATAAATATAGAGTACAATTTTATAAAGATTGACATACTCTATTCACTCAAGATCTCCACTCAAAAGTTAACTTGTTAAAGCCATTAAATCTGAAGAAGCCTAATCATAATAAAAATAACACAGGATTACATAATCTGACTTGAGAACCTCAGGAATATTTTGTTTCCATTAATTTTTTTTATTAAAACTAAAATAAATGAAATTTCAATATCACTTTTAAAAGAATCACTTTTAAATGCTTGTGAAGATACTACTGTAACAAGAATTACTCCAATCCTATTCATACTTCTGGTGTTGCCAGCTCCGTAGAAGTTTATTAATGATCAAAATATTCAAATATCTGATATCCAGACAATGTTCACAGGCTTCTTCTGCCTTAAGAGAAGGAGAAGAGCAGTTTTAGGTTTGGTCTGTCTTTATTCCCAGATGTGAACAACTCTTGCACATTCAAACGTGTGCAAGACTCAACAGGAACACTGTCCTACTGCTATGCTGAGGCCATGGTTTCCCTGAGACGGTCATGTGACAGAGGAGTCCCAGTGCTAGCTCGGGTCGACAGTTTCCAAACAATGCAATAATGTGAACAGAGGGCTGTATAAAATAGAAGGTTCTTTCAAAAAGATTTATGGTGTGTTTTTGGAATAAAAAAATTATCAGTCTTCTTGGTTAAAGGTTGGCAAATGTGTCTTCAACTTTAAAATGTCTGAAATTGGCTCCTTCCTTTCTTGATAGAAGCTGAGTCCAGTGATGTGTTCAACATCTGTGATCCGAGCTCTGTGCAATTTTAACAACTCTTCAACCCACGAGGATTCATGCTTCCCATGCTGTGAGGGTGGGAAATAAAGAAGAAAATCACTGGTAAACTCAGTTCATTTTCCCTATAAGCTCTCTATGCCCCCAATTTTAATTAGCTTTGACACTTTGGCTCCCAAATGGCAGATGCCATAAGATTTGTTAGGCATAATCCCTGCTCTTGAGTAATTCACCATTTAATATATACTATGCATATTTGTTTGTTTAATTAAATATATCAAATTTGGGAAAAGAAAAGTATATGTGGGTCAGATGTTCATTTATCAAACTGGTGAAAGAAATTTCAATGGTGTAGGGTTAAAAATGTTGGAAAACAGAAGCAACATGGGATGGTAGAAAGAATATGGGAATTAGCATAAAGAAACTTTGATTCAAATCCTGGTTCTACCATCATCTTACCAGGTAAACTGAGGCATGTTATTTAACATCTGAATCCTAATTATCTTACCTGCACCCTCTTTATAGGGTTATTTTGAGGATTTGATGTAAAATATTCAAATGTAATGATATGTGCAAATGCACAATACAAACAAGGGCTCTCATCAGAATCAGTTATGTACATAGTTGCAATGAGGAAAGGGTTGAGGGTAATGGTAAAACACCGTAATTTCTGGTGAGGTCATGAAGTCTTAACTAATATGAGATCAGTAAAGAATTAAAGGCATGCCCTGGCCAGTTTGGCTCAGTGGCATCAGCCCGAGGACAGAAGGGTTGTGGGTTTGATTCTTGGTCAAGGGCACGTACTGGATTGCAGGTTCGATATATGACCCCACTGGGGTCGTGCGGGAGGCAACCAATTGATGTTTCTTTCTCTCTCCCTCCCTCCCCCGCTTCCACTCTATCTAAAAACCAGTGGAAAAATGCTCTTGGGTGAGGATTAACAAAAAACAAACAAGAAAAAGAATTAAAGGCATATGCTCTGCTCTGGCACATGGAAACCCAGCTGGTAGCTGAAGCAATAGAGGTGGAAATCACACACCCACGTGTTAGTGTAAATTTCTCTGAAAATAGCTCCTGGAAAAGACCAGATAAAGAAAGTATCCACTGGTTATACTTTAAAGACATCCTGATTATACTTTAAAGACATCCTTCAACAAAGGTCCATGTACCCTTAGGGCATTATTATTGAATATGATAAATACAGACTTTTCACATTAAGGGGAAACAGGCCAATAATTTCATTTTCCTATTAACCTCCAATAATTTGCATTTTCCCATTCGCTTCCAATCATCCACTACTCAGTACTGCTGCCCTACTCAGTCTGCTCCTGCAACTGTCTTCCTCTGGCTCTCGAGGTAACAGCCCCGGCTCAGTAGACTACTTGGCCAGTGGATATTTGCCATCTGCTCCAACAATTATAGGAATATAGAAAAAGTACACATAAGGCCTCTGTTCTAGGCCGACATCCAGCTGACCTTCAGTCATTACTTCAGAGATGAAACAGAAGGAATCAATGTGTGATGCACCTTCAAATAATCCTCTCCCTGGTTCAAGTCCAATATTTAGTGTCTTCTAGGTACACTATCATAAAATTTGATTAAAATGTTTGTATTTAAGATATTGGCACAATAACTTTTGGAATGGTAGAGATGGAAAAGGAACTCAGTGCCTAACTCATGGCATTTAGAATCATTCTGGTCAGTGAGATGTAAGCATAAGTCTACTGCTGACTTCTCTTTTGGGGTAGGGCCCAGCATTCAGACACAATACCTAGAGCAGCAGAACCATCTTGAGCCCACATGGGCTACATGCTAAGAACAGTGGCACAGAAAGACAGGAAGGTCTGAGTCCCTAACGGTGTGGCTAAGCAGTACTGTCCAGATGGTCCACCCCTGGACTTTTGTTACATGAGGAACCTCCTATGTGCTCAAGTCCCTGTAACTGCATTCCCTGTGATTTGCTGCAGGACACAACACTGACGAATACCTGTAACAACAATGCAGTCTCTCAAGGAAGACAAAGCCATGAAGAGGAAATATATTTTTTATCCTCACCGGAGGATATTTTTGCATTTATCTTCAGACAGAGCGGGAGGAACAAAGGGGAGAAGAGAGAGAAACATCGATGTGAGAGAGACACATTGTGTGGTTGCCACCCACATGACCCCAATCAGGGCCGGGGACAAACTGCACCCGAGGTATGTGCCCTTAGCAGGAACCGAACCCGAACTCTCCAGTCCGCGGGCTAATGCTCTGACTGCTGAGCCAAACCGGCCAGGGCACGAAGAGGAAATATTTGGTATGTGTCCAACAGCAGCCACAACACTGACCAGCTAGCACTGTTAGATGCCCAACAGACATCCAAGTAGTTAAAATCTTGCTTTCTGTACTTAATTCTGAAGAATAAGGAAAAAATAACTTAATGAGAAATGTGTTCTGTGTGGACTGGTCAATTAATTCTGAAAGTTTATCAGAGAAACAATTAAAGAGAGACATAGCCTCATCCATTTCATGCATGACACATAGAAGACTACCAGATCAGGGATGGCAAATGGGTCACCGCACTCCACTCCGGGGCCCACCACAAAGACCACTGTCTGCTTTGTTCACTGCTTTGTTCTTAGTTTCTAGAGTACCTGGCACCAGATATTTATGAAAGGGAAGAATAACTGGATGAAAGAAGGCATTAACGAATAAGTAAAGGGATAAATGAATGAGCAACCACAGCACTCTCTCCAGCCAAGCTCAGACTGGGCCCCAAGATCCTTTTGACCACAGGAGTCCACGTGTCTACCACCAATCCACTAAGACTGCTAGAAAAGCCAAATACATTTTCCAGTTTAGGTCTAGTCTTACTTTGTATAACTTCAATGGACAAAAAACAACAACCAAAAAAACCCAGAAAAGAAAAACCAACTAGGATATCTGGGAAGTACTCTGAAAAAAACATTTTGACTCACCATAAGGAAAAGCTTTAAAATTGCTAAAATTTTAATGCAGTCTTGATATTCAAAGAATTTTTAAAATTCTGAGCAAATAAAATAATATAAAACAATTATTTCCAAACATTCAAATGACAATAGCATAAGAAAAGATAATTAGGGACAAAGATACGATTTTTACAATAGAGTGATATATAGAAAATTAATTTGCAATGCTGTCTAACCACAACTTTGAGACTAATTTAGCCCTGGTCGATGTGGGTCAGTTGGTCGAGCATCATCCTGTGTACCATGAGGTCACAGGTTCAACTGCTGCTCAGGGCACACGTCTAGGTTGTAGGCTTATTCCCCGTAGGGGGTGTGTAGGAGCCAGTGATCAATGCTTCTCTCCCTCTCTAAAATCAATTAAAGCATATACTTTTTTTTTTTTGCATTTATTTTCAGATAGAATGGGAGATAGGGGTGAAGAGAAAGAGGAGGGTGAAGAGAGAGAGAAAAACATCAATGTTAGAGAGACACATTGACTGATTGCTACCCTCACGACCCCAACCAGGGCCAGGGACAAACTGCAACTGAGGTACGTGCCCTTAGCGGGAACTGAACCTGGGTCTTTCTGGACCGTAGGCCAATGCTCTTAACCACTGAGCCAAACCAGCCAGAGCTAAAACATATTCTTAAAAAAAGAAAAAAGACTAATTTATAACAGTGCTGATACTTTAGGCATTATAAATCTAGTTTTTAAAGAAAAATAAGTTCCCACTTCAAATAAACCTAGAATTTCGTGGCTAAGTCATAAAAAGTTAACTTTTTACATTTTGGTCAGATTTTTAGTGTTTTTAATAGACAAGGGAGGTCTCTCTGAAGATATGTCATCTTAGAAGATCAGATTTAAAATCATCCTATAATTTCAAAGTATATGTATATTCAAGTTATCTTTTCTCCCACAGTAATATTAGATATAGGACACACACAAATATACTTATATTTTCAACGTTTAAGGTAAATTAACAAAGCTACTTACCACACAACTCTCGCTGTTATCAGTCCTGTGCGGTAAAATGAAAGCTAAGGTATCTAAGTTTTCACAGTGTAAGGGAGTCTGGGATGTATTTTTACAACTTGTTAGCACAATGAAGAAGTGAGTTGGAATCACGATTTTTTGATTACGGATGACTCTGCTATTTCTGTAAAATATGACAATATTCACTTTAAGAAATAAATAACATTTTTTAAATGAATATTTCAGTAAAACATTTTTATACACCTAAAAATAAAATTCAAATAATTAAATGTATTATAAGCAGTAATCATAACACCTCAACTTATTCTGCCTGATTGAGAAAGAATTAGAAGACAGATAAACTCTATCCAAAAAATTTTTCATTTTCTATAAAAATTTATTGAATTTAAAATTTTTTAAATTCTACCTTTGGAATTGAGACACAAATATTTTTGAGTACCTACAGCATTACTGATAGTCTTTTGAAATCTGTGTAGTTGTGCACAGACAGTGGACAGAGAGAGACCTGGTCTGAGACTTTTTTGTTCCAGCTCTTTCAGAGAAGCCATATTGCTGTGAATTCTCTCTTTTTTTATTTTTAATTAATTAATTTATTTTTGTTACAGATGTTTCCTCCCCCCCTCCCAGCCCTGTCCCCAGCCTTGTTGTCCATGTCCACTGTTCATGTACACATGCATATAAGTTCTGTGGTTTATCTCTCCCCCACCACCCCCTCTTCTGGGGATTATCAGTCTGTACCCCACTGCCACATCTCTGGGGCTATCCCATTCCTCAGACTGTTATGTTCATTATATTCCCAAATAAGGGAGATCATATGATACTTGTCATTCTCTACTTGGCTTGTTTTGCTGAGGATAATACTTTTCAGGTCCCTCCATGTCGTCTCAAAGGATAAGAGATCTTTCTTTCTTACAGCTGCATAGTACTCCATTGTGTATATGTACCACTGCTTTTTGATCCATTCATCTACTGATGGACACTTGGGCTGTTTCCAGATCTTAGCTATTGTAAATAGTGCTGCTATGAACATGGGGGTACATATGTTCTTTCTGATTGGTGTTTCAGGCTTCTTAGTGTATATTCTTAGAAATGGAATCACTGGGTCAAATGGCAGTTCAATTTTTAATTTTTTGAGGTAACACCATATTGTTTTCCATAGTGGCTGCACCGGTCTGCATTCCCACCAGCAGTGTACTAGGGTCCCCTTTTCTCCACACCCTCGCCAATACTTGTTGTTTGATGATTTGTTGATGGAGGCCATTCTGACAGGTGTGAGGTGATACCTCATTGTTGTTTTAATTTACATGTCTCTGATGATTAGTGATGTTGAGCATTTCTTCATATGTCCCTTGGCCATTTGTATGTCCTGTTTGGAGAGGTGTCTATTTAGCTCCTCTGCCCATTTTTAAATTGGATTCTTTGTCTTTCTTTTGTTGAGTTGTATGAGCACTCTCTTTAATTGGAAATTAACCCCTTATCTGATATATCATTGGCAATTATGCTCTCCCATACAGTGGGTTGCCTTTCCATTTTGATGATTATATCTTTTGCTGTGCAGAAGCTTTTGAGTTTGATGTAGTCCCATGTGTTCATTTTCTCCTTTGTTTCTATTGCCTTAGGTGATGTATCAGTGAAAATTCTGCTGCGTATGATGTCTGAAATTTTGTTGCCTACATTTTCTTCTAGGATTTTTAAGGATTCATGAGTCACATTTAAGTCTTTTATCCATTTTGAGTTTATTCTTGCGTATGGTGTAACTTGATGGTCTAGTTTCATTTTTGTGCATGTAGCTGTCCAATTTTCCCAGCACCATTTATTAAAGAGGCTGTCCTTACTCCACTGTATGCTCTTGCCACCTTTGTCAAATATTAATTGAGCATATTGTCTTGAGCCCATTTCTGGGTTCTCTATTCTGTTCCATTGATCTATCTGCCTGTTCTTATGCCAGTACCAGGCTGTTTTGATTACAGTGGCTTTGTAGTATAACCTGAAATCAGGTAATATGATCCCTCCAACTTTGTTCTTCTTTTTCAAGATTGCTGTGGCTATTCAGTGTCTTTTTTTGTTCCATATGAACTTTTGAAGTATTTGTTCTAGTTCTGTGAAGTATGTCATTGGTATTTTGATGGAGATTGCATTGAATCTATAGACTGCTTTGGGTAGTATGGACATTTTAATGATGTTAATTCTCCCAATCCATGAACAAGGTATGTGCTTCCACTTTTTATATCTTCCTCTATTTCTTTTTTCAATGACCTGTAGTTTTCTACAAATAGGTCCTTTATTTCTTTGGTTAAGTTTATTCCTAGGTATCTTAATTTTTTTTGCTGCAATTGTAAATGGGATTGTTTTTTACTTTCTCTTTCTGTGAGTTCATCATTGGTGTATAAGAATGCCATCAATTTCTTGACATTAATTTTGTATCCTGCTACTTTACCAAATTCATTTATTAAGTCTACTAGATTTTTTATGGAGTTTAGGGTTTCCTATGCACGATATTATGTCATCTGCAAATAATGACAGTTTCACTTCCTCCTTTCCAATTTGGATCCCTTTTATTTTTTCTTCCTGTCTGATTGCTGTGGCTCAGACTTCCAGTACTATGTTAAATAAGAGTGGCAAAAGTGGGCATCCTTGTCTTTTTCCTGTTCTTCAGGGACATGCTTTTAGTTTTTGCCCATTGAGTATGATGTTAGCTGTAGGTCTTTTATATACAGCCTTTATTATGTTGAGATATGATCCCTCTATTCCCAGATTGCTGAGCGTTTTTATCAGAAATGGGTGCTGGATTTTGTCGAATGCTTTTTCAGAGTCTATTGATATGATCATATGATTTTTATCTTTCATTTTGTCTATGTGGTGTATCACATTTATTGACTTGTGAATAATGTACCAGCCTTGCATCTCTGGGATGAATCCCACTTGGTCATGGTGAATAATTTTTTGATGTAATGGTGGATTCGATTTGCTAGTATTTTGTTCAGGAGTTTGGCGTCTATGTTCATCAGGGATATTGGCCTGTAGTTTTCTTTCTTTGTAGTATCTTTTTCTGGTTTTGGAATTAAAATTATACTGGCCTCATAAAATGAGTTTGGAAGTCTTCCTTCTTCTTGAATTTTTTTGAAATAGTTTGAGGAGAATGGGTATTAGTTCTTCTTTAAATGTTTTAAAATTCCCCCGTGAAGGGGTCTGGGCTTTTGTTTGCTAAGAGAGTCTTGTTTACATCTTCAATTTCTTTTGCTGTTATTGGTCTGTTCAAGTTTTCTATCTCTTCCCGGTTCAGTTTCGGGAGACTATGTGTTTCTAGAAATTTGTCCATTTTGCTTAGATTGTTGAATTTGTTGCCATATAATTGTTCATAGTAGTTGTTAATGATCTTTTGTATTTCAGTGGTGTCAGTTACTATTTCTCCTCTTTCATTTCTGATTTTGTGTATTTGGGTTCTCTCTCTTTGTTTCTTGGTGAGTCTAGCTATGGGTCCATCAATCTTGTTTATCTTTTCAAAGAACCAGCTCTTTGTTTCATTGATCCTCTGAATTGTTTTTTTGGTCTCCATGTCATTTATTTCTGCTCTGATCTTAATATTTTCTTCCTTCTACTTGCTCTGGGGTTTTCTTTCTGTTTGCTTTCCAGTTCTTTAAGTTGTGAGGTTAGATAGTCTATTAGAAATTTTTCTTGCTTCTTGAGATAGGCCTGTAGTGCTATGAACTTCCCTCTCAGAACTGCTTTCACTGCATCCCATAGATTTTGTGTTGTTGTGTGTTCATTTTCATTGGTTTCCAGGAAGTTTTAAATTTCTTCCTTGATCTCCATGGTAACCCATTCACTGGTCAATAAAATGCTATTTAGCCTCCATGTGTTCCAATGTCTTTGCATGAACTTGTTGCAACTGATTTCTAGTTTCATGCCATTGTGATCTGAGAAGATGCTTGATATGATTTCAATCTTGAACTTGTAGAGACTTAGTCTGTGCCCTAACATGTGGTCTATCTTTGAGAATGTCCCATGTGCACTTGAGAAGAATGTGAATTCTGAAGTTTTGGGGTGTAATTCTCTATAGATATCTATTAAATCCACTTGATTTAGTACTTCATTTAGAGTCTGTGTTTCCTTCTTAATTTTTTGTCTAGAAGATCTATCCAGTAAGGTCAGTGGGGTGTTGAAGTCCCCTGCTATAATTGTATTGCTGTTGATTTCTCCTTTGAAGTCCTCCAGAAGATTTTTAATATATGTTGGTGCTCCTATATTGGGTGCACATATGTTTACCAAGGTTATATTTTCCTGTTAGATAGATCCTTTCAATATTATGTAGTGGCCTTCTTTGTCTCTAGTTATGGCCTTCATTTTGAGGTCTATTTTATCAGATATGAGTATTGCTACCCCAGCTTTTTTTCCTTTCCGTTTGCTTGAAAGATTTTTTTCCATCCCTTCACTTTCAACCTATGTGAGTCTTTTGTTATGATGTGGGTCTCTTGTAAACAACATATATGTGAATCATGCTTTCTTATCCAGTCAGCTATTCTGTGTCCTTTTATCGGAGCATTCAAACCATTCACATTTAAGGTGATAATTGATATGTATTCATTTATTGCCATTTTTGTTTAGTGTGGTTATATTTTTCTTCCTATTTCTTCTAATAATTACAGCAGTCCTTTTAGCATATCTTGCAGTGCTGGTTTGGTGTTAATATATTTCTTTAGCTTTTTTTTTTTGTCTGGGAAGCTCTTTATTTGACCTTCTATTTCGAATGATAGCCTTGCTGGATAGAGTAGTCTTGGATTCAGATCCTTTTTTTCATCACCTTGATTACTTCATGCCATTCCTTTCTGGCCAGTAGTGTTTCTGTTGAGAAGTCAGCTGAGAGTCTTATGGGGTTTCCTTTGTAGGTAAGCTGTTGCTTATCTCTTGCTGCCTTTAGGGTTCTCTCTTTGTCTTTAATTTTTGGCATTTTAATTACTATGTGTCTTCATGTGTGCCTGTTTGGGTTCTTCTTACTTGGGGCTCTCTGTGCTTCTTGAACTTGAATGCCTTCTTCCTTCACCAAGGTAGAAAAGTTTTCTGACACTATTCTTCAAATATATTCTCTAAACCTTGCCCATTTTCTTCCTCTTCGGGGACTCCTATGATGCAAATGTTATTATGTTTCTACTTGTCCCACAGTTCTCTCAAGCTGTCTTCCTGGTTTTTAATTGTTTTTTCCTTTTGGTTTTTTGATTGGTTAATTTTTTCTACCCTGTCTTCTAATTCACTGATCCGGTCCTCAGCTTCCTATACTCTGCTGGTTAGTCCTTCCAATGTGTTCTTTATTTCTGCTATATCATTCTTCATTTTCAATGTTTCTATATCTTTACTCATGGTGCTGATGTCCTTACTCATGCTGTTGAACTTCCTCAATATCATGGCTCTGAACTCTACCTCTGATAATTTGCTTAATTGCATTTCATTAATCTCTTCTTCAATAGAGTTCTCTTGTTCTTTCATTTGGTATTTGTTTCTTTGTTTCACCATTTTGGCTATCTCAGTGGGTTCTGGAGCCTGCCAAATTTTCCCTGTGGTTATTGGTGTTCTGCTGTTCATGGCTCCCTCTACTGGGTTTGGATGAGCCTGGGTGGGCCCACATTAAACACCACTGTCAAGTCTTACTTTCCTGGGTTGATCTGCAAGCCCAGGAAAGGTTCAGTTATCCTCTAGCTTTTTCCTGGAGGCTAGTAGTCTCCATTACTCAGTGCCTTGGAATGTAGCCCTGGTGTTCTGCCTAAGAGGATTTCCAGATGGTGGGATAGATGCTGGTTGCTAATGAGCCTTGATTTGCATTTGTTTGCCTCACCTGGGAAAGGCTGCGTCTCTGAGTGGGAGGCTGCTGCTTTTCCCCACAGCTCTAGGAAGGAGCACACTGGCCACCGTCCTTTGTGGCCGCAACTCAGCAAAAACTGTGAGTGTCCTCCAAATCCTCGGTGTCCCCACAGAGTTCCAGCCCAGTCTGCCCTCCCTCTGCCGTAGCCCCCAGGTGACTGGCTGTGGTTATTTTAGCGCTCTGTCCTGGCTCTTTGCACTGTGGAGTGGGCTTGGTCTTTATTCCCCAAGGGTGCTGTTCACAGCTAAGACTGCTGCTGTCCCTGGGCTCCCAGCCTGCCACCCTCTCACGCCTCCACAGATCCTACCAGTGTTCCTGGTTATATGGTCCTGTCCTGCTGCTTTTCTGTTGCTTTTTTACAAGGATTTGTCTTTATATTAGTTGTGATTCCTGTTTGGTGCTGGGAAATCGTCTGTGTAGCTTCCATTCACTTCGCCTCCATTTTCACATCCTCTAAGCCTATCCTGTGCGCAGCTGGTTTGCACAGGCCTCTCTGGTGCCCCTGCACCCTGCAGGTCCCGTGGGTAACTGGATTGCACAGTCCCTTTGGGGACCCGGCTCTATGCCTATATTATGGGCTCCTGGGTTGCAAAGGCCTCCCTGGTGCTTCACACCCTGCAGGTCCCACGGGTAACTGGATTGCACAGTCCCTGCCGGGGCACACAGGCCTCTCTGGTGCCCCCACACCCTGCAGGTCCCACGGGTGGGCAGCTGGATCGTACCAGTCCCTTTCGGGCTCTGGCTTCCCACTGCTCTTGTGGGCTGCTGGGTCGCACAGGCCCCTCAGGTTCCCCTGCACCCTGCAGGACCCACGGGCAGCTAGATTGCACCAGTCCCTCTTGGGCTCCGGCTTCCCACGGCTCGTGAGCTACTGGACCGCACCGGCCTCTGTGGAGCCCCAGGACCCACTGCTGGTGGCTGGGGAGTGCTGCTGCTCCATGGGGCTCAACTCCTGCTTAGCTTTGGCTGTAGTTTTGGGGGATGGGTCTCAGCTGCTGCTCTGTGCTTCTGTTGCCTGGGCATGGATGTCTGCTCCCCAGCCTCTGTTGCTGGGGGCATATCTGGACTCTGATCTGGCTGCTACTGTGGGGGATGGTGCTGGGCTCCGGGCTGTCCGTGGCTTCCGTGACAGGCACCTTGGGAGCTCCACTATTGTGCACCGGTCTGTGTTGACACAGAGGGTCCACCGGTCCGATGGTGCCAGGTGCACTGGTGGGCTCAGGTTGCTGGGCCCTAGCCGCTCCCACTACCTCCTCCGAGAGAAGACCCGGGATCTTCCAAAATGGTGGGACCTCCCCGCGGGGCAGGGAGAAGCGCCCTGAAGGGCCGCTCACCGCGGTAGCCGGTGCTCCGTCCACAGCACAGGAACCTCTGCTCTGAGTCTCTGCACTGCTGGGGTTTGGTCGTCCACCTTCACATTCACTCACAGTCTCTCACACACTCACCCTCTCTCTGGTCCTGCCTGCCGCCATCTTCTGAATTCTCTGTCTTAACTGGATTTTTGTTTCTATACCAATAATTTTATATTTTTTAATTGCATCATATTGTCATAGATATCCCAAGTAACACCTTTGCAGGATCTTAATTCTATTTCCTTTGGTCTCAAAGCTAGATTGTGTGTGTGTGTGTGTGTGTGTGTGTGTGTGTGTGTGTGTTTTACAGAATATTTCAAAATTTAAGGTAGTGGGATCCTTGTTTTCAAATACAATCTTACACAGAAGCATAACATATCAAACACAATAAACCAGAGAGCTTGGTTGGAGCTGTGAATGGGAAAGGTATGAAGTTGGGGTTTTTTTACCCATTTTTACTGCAGTGACCTATGAGGCAGTAATGGGAGACCCTTATGCCTCAAGGACTGTTAGTGAAATACTGGGATTTTACAAACTAATGTGGTCCCCGATACATGTGTATAAATAGCCATCCCTAAGTCGGCCTGTGAGTGACACTGGCAGAAAGGGCCTCGATCTCAGCGGAGCCTCGGCCCCTTCTTCTCAGAGCCTTACCAGCAAATCTCTGATTATTTCATTTTCTAATTATTGTTTTAATAAAAATCAAGTAATCTCTAAAACATTCTCCACCTCTCCTTCATAAAAACAGCCCCACTGATGGTTTCCTCAAAATGGTCACCCGATCACTCCCCTCCGGCCGGAGCTGGGTCCAAGCGTGACCTCACCCAAGGCCGACAGCCTTATAACCCGGCTGGTTCCTTGACTCAAGATGCCTCTAGCTACACCATGTGGCTCTTCATCTTCTAACTGGAGGCATGTTAATTAAGATAGTCTCCTAGCCACGCACACCGATTTTAGACACTGATGTTACCTTCTTAACAATGGCAGAGGAGTTCAGTATTGAATCTGAGCTCAAGAATTCCTCAGCGGAGCTAAGTGGTGGAGGAACACTTCTTCCATCTAAAAAATATTTTACTGCACACTGAGCGAAACATTAAAGTTAATCAGATATTTCACCCTGCTGGTGTGGCTCAGTGGTTGAGTGTCGACCCATGTACCAAGAGGTCGCCAGTTCCATTCCCGGTCAGGGCACATGCCCAGGGTGTGGGTCAAATCCCCAGTGGAGGGCATGCAGGAGGCAGCCAATCAATGTTCTCTCTCATCAATGTTTCTATCTCTCTTTCCCTTTCCCGTCTTCTCTAAAATTAATAAAGAAAAAAAAATTTTTTTTAATTAATCAGGTATTTCATGAGGCTTCCAGTGTAATCAGAAATGTCGCATACATAAATGTCTGACTAGTAAAGGTTCTGCTGACTCATCCAGGTCATCCCCCTTGCTAGCTGTTGTTATGAGTAAATGGAATTTGTTCTTACTGCTTCAGAGTCTCCGAGGCATCATAATGCCCATCATAATCAGAGTCAAACACAGGCCCGCTGACGACATTGACGCCGTTTCTTTCCTCAGCATACCGTGGCAGGAGGGTGACATGAAAGTAGTGCCATATAACTGAAACAAGAAGGAACACAGTGCAGTTTCAACAGAACAAGGAGCCACGCTGTCATATGAAATCAATCAACACCGTGATTCAAAATGAGCACCCGTGGCAAGTGGAGATAAAAGCCAAGTTTGGCTTCAGTCTTAGTGTCAGGCCAAAAATTCACTGTTGAGCTTCGGCCCTTGGAAAGACAAATACACAAATGTTGCGTTCAACTCTATTTCAGCCATCCCTGACCTGTGCAGCATCATGACCTTGTGGTCACAGGTCGTCATTAAGCATTAAGAAGAAATCATGAAGAGAAACAAGGCAGGTTATTCAGATGTACTGTCAATATCTGAATATTCCCTTTGAAATATTCACAAGTAAATTAGGACAAAAAAAATACGTCCTTGTATGTTCTTTATTTTGAAATTCCTTAAGTCACTTGAGGTGTAAATGTACATTTATTCGTGTAAGAGCCAAATGCTGCAATAATTAATAATGATATATTTTGAGATTTAAAAAAATTATCAGGAACTTCCAAATAGTTAGACAGGGACATATACTTAAGTTAATGTTAGTACACTATACTAGCTTGGTGACTTAGAATAAACATTATATACTTTTCACCAAAAATGTCTAAATACATATAAGGAGAGAGCAGAATAGTAGATATTGAAATATACCATAATTCTAATACAGGTAGAATTTTTTATATACTGGAATTTTCAAAGTTAAACAAACCAATAAAAATGTATTTGATATTTAGTCATTTAATTTAGAGGTCTTATTACATATAAATTATAGCTATAATATATATGTACAGAGGAATTCTTTGAAATTATGAGACAGAGTTAAAATGTTTTACCTTGAAAACTCTGGTACATTGGCACTATATTAGTAGTAAGCAATGCTTCAGGATATATTTCATTTGAACCTTTATTTAGTTCTACAAAGAGAATAAAAAGAACAACTATTTCATTCTTCACAAATAACATTAGAAATTGCACTTTAAAAAATAAGCTGAGTATTAGCCTAAACAGTAAAACTTTCCCAGGACTGGTTCAAGGGAGAAATGCAATGTATTTGGTCAAATCCCTTAAGAAAATAAAAATATTTACATGTGTTCTCCTTCAAGATGAATTTACCAAAAACACAAAAACGTTAAAAAAATGTTAAATGAAATTAAACACTTTCAAATGTTACCTTATTTGTCTTATTTCAACTAAAGGATACTGCGTTGACACTCTTCTGTCCTTAAACTCTTTCACAGTGAAAAGAAAAAAAAACAATATCTGGCTTCAGAACACCACCTTCTACCCAGAAACAACATCGAGGACGGCTGCCTGGAAAAGCCGGACAAGGACTCTTTGTGCGGACTCGGCCAGGGCCTGGTCTACCTCCACAGCGCGGCAGCCAGGTTCGCACTGCGGCCGCTCGCTCCGGGACCGGACTGGGTACTGAGGGTATTTCAGCACGAGGACTGTTCTGATTTTTGCCCTTTTAGGGCAACCTCGAAATGTGTTCTCGTTAGCATATAAACTTGCCACTTGGAAAAATAGAAGAGTTGACTTCAAAAAGAAGCCTCTCCCGAGGGGCTGTGTACGGGGGAGACAGCAAGCCCTTGCCGGCTCTACCTTTACCTAATTCTTTGACAAATTACATTTTTGTGTTTTAACAACAAAATGATATCTCCTTCCGAAGAATACAGATGCAGTTTTCTGACCTCACTGTGTTTTCTCAAATTCTGGTTAAAAAAATTTCAGAAAAGTGAAAAATGTCCTACCTATTGAATCTGCCCTAAATCAACTACCCTTCAAACAAAAGTAAACATTTTCTAAATTTCAAGTTTTAGACCAAATTTAAAAATTTTCCCTAAACGTTATACTTCTCACTCACAATTTTCATCGCTCAATCAGTAAGCTGGTGTACTCTACACATAAGAAAGAAAAGGAGGCGGGAAAGAGGAGGAAGACACTTACGTGGTGGGGAGAGGAACCCATAACTTATTTTAGCATTATTTTTATAAAATGAACATTTATGGACAGGACTGAGAGAAATTCGAAGATCCTGGTAAAGGCAGTTGGAAAAGTCTTCTGTAGAGAAACTGTCCTGAAGAACGAAATAAAAAGCATCATCAGACACCAGGTATATGGAGGGAAAGGAGATTACTTGGGAAACAGTTGAAGGTGAACTGCATCATAATATCATGGAGCTCTAGCTGTCTGTCCATGTCCTTCTTCACTCTTCCATTTGCTTCTGTTGTAGTCATCTACATATTGTAGTCTATCTGAAGTGCAAAACTCCTTTCAATAGTAAGGATATCAACCATTTGTCATACATGTGCAAAGATTTTCCTACTATGTTGTGCTAATTTTGTTTATAATGTTGGTTGTTGTTTTTTTTCTCAATTTCAAACTTTTATATAAGGAATTGCTGATTTTTAGGAATCTGAGACTATCTTGCATACTCAATTACACAACCACGAGTTTGCGGGTAGGCAGGTGTAAAAAAGCCACTGCACAGCAATGTAATGTGAAAACCTTGGGGGTAATGATGACTCAGGAGTTCTGCAGCTTTGATTTCATGGCAGAACAGAAAATTCAAACAAGCAAAACACCCTAGTTGAGGTATTAAACAACAATAAATTGGGCAGGACCTACAAAACTGTGTAGAATGCTATACAGTGCAAAGTCAAGTAAAAAAAAAAAAGTGTAAACTGTTTACTGTGTTTGAACATAGTCTTCAAAATATTTTTAAATTCAAGTTTAAGGTAGAAATTGTATGTATGTATTATATATTTTTTAAAACACAGAAATTACATATATATCCTTATATTTTTGTTTAGCTATCTCAGTGATAATTAACAATAGTTTTATTTTTTAAATCCAACTCATCTAAGCTCTCTCAAATTTCCCTTTCTATTTTTCACAGGCATCTTACAACTTGCCAGACACTCTCAGTTTTTGAAAAGCTGGTCAGTCCAGTTTCAAACGTCCACTCCAGTGAGATCTAAATCTCACCTCCGCCCTTCATTCTCTCTTTCCAGGACTCTCTCTCATTATGTCCTTTCCACCACAGCACCCAGGAGTGAGGAGGAATGGTGGTCTTATTCTGGGATATTTTCCCCCACGCCTCTCAAGGCCTAAACCCTCTGGCCTGGGGGGGAGCAAGATCCCCAGCCTCTCTCTGGCTTGGTCTGGGGTCCTCCTGTGGACGGATGGTATACACGGCGAGGTTACTGAGCCTCTCCAGCACTGAGGATCTGCTGAGAGCTGAGCAGTTGAGGGAAATCCTTGTGCTCACATAGTATGTACTTAGAGATGAATAATTGTGATTGGTTGTAAAAATGACTTCATAAAATTATAAAGTAAAATCATAAAATATTTAAGCCAAAGGCAAGGGAGAAAACTTGACTGCACATCCCTCACTCCATAGGGAAAGAAACACGCTCTGAGTCTCAGTCACAAGCTACTTAGCGGCAAAACTGGACCTTAATTTTTCTGTCTCCCAGTTCAGTGATCTAATTGGAGAACTGACTATAGAGCCCAGATTACCAGCGAGAAACAATGCTCTCGATGTTTCGCTTAATGATAATTTGAAATAACCACACAGAGCTAAAGGGGTGACAGATACTTGCATTTCTGTCCACGGTGTAGGATGACCAAAGGGGCATTTGGATGTCATGGCTGTAAGCACTCACAAACTGGTGCTGGTAGAGCAGACAGGCAGTGCTGTTCTTCTGGAGAACTCTGGGTCTTCCATAGGGTAAAGTGCCACGCTTAATAACCTTCTCTTGGGTCACAGGAGGAAAACAAAACCACTATTTAAGTGTACTTACAGTGCATTGCATGCTAATATATATGATACACTCATTTAATTCTTTCCTCTACTAAACCCTATTGAAAAGTTATTTTTAACTCTAATAAAACACAAATTACAAAGAGTAGCACCGTAAACAATTAAGAAAACCAAAGAGATTCACTGTACTTTTTGTCCATGCAGAGTCTGAAAGAGCAATGCAATATGAAGATATCACAATATACATGAAACTGCTGGAAATGTCAGTAATTAGGACTTAAATTATATAAAATTATATCACTATAATTCTTTAACATTGTTACAATTACTCATTATTCAGGATGTACTCCGGAAAGAAAACTTTCTGGATAATATGTGTACTTGGAAAGCAAAAGTCCAGACCCGAAATTATGAGACTAAACTGAATGAACAATAGTGTATATACTATTCATTGCCTTTTCCCAAGTGTCAGGTGCTTTGTAGGGTTCTTGGTAGCCATCAGCGAATTTAAATTCTTAAATAGCCCTATGAATTAAGGTTATATGCCCTTTTATAGATGAGAAAACAGTGGCTTATAGGAAGCAAATACTTTTTCTATGGACATACAGTTCCTAAGCTCATATTCAAGCCCAGACCTACCCAATTCCCAAAGCATCATTCTTTACAATACTTGAACACCTTGGGATCATCAAAGGTTCTTCAACCTGAACATTTATAGAATCTTATGCTGACAGGCTCAAGTAAAGAACAATGTGGAATTCGCCTTTTCATTCCAGCAGGAAAAAACTGTGAGACAAGTAATCTAATCTATCAGAGACTCTGTCAAGTGTACCAGAGACTGTACTGAAATGTCACTGAACATTCAGGTCACAACTGACAGATTTCAACAGGTGTCTGTGTATTCTTAATCTTCATTCATAAGTTATGAATAACTTTAGATAAATAAATCAATTTATACTCTCTTGTAATTAAGTAAACCCAGTGAGATAGACATTTAACAGGTATTTTAAATGGAAATAATAAAAAGATTTATTATAAACCTATAAAAATTTTCAAAAATCTCAGAACATCTCTACTGTGTTCATAAAGAGTGATTCAGCTTCCATTGAATATACTACACGCTGTTTCCACATCAATATTCCTTCCTTTCTATGACTAATGATCCAGACTGTCAAGCAAAGAAATCTCTGTTTCATCAGGTGGTCCTCCACTACTCCCTTTGTTTTACTGGTCATTCTAAAAATCGCCTTCAAACCAATTCTCTGCGGTTCACACCACTGAGTAAAAGCCTGCTTCCATGCTTCAAGTCAAGGGTAAACACGCCTTACCTTCTGCCACGGTCAGATTCAGCTGGGTCTGAAAATCCACGACTGGAACCATCTAAAGAGTTAACAAGACTATTTTTAAGAAATGAGAGGCAGGTTTCAATTTTGTAACACACACGGTCTATAGATTAATTATTCCATTGTAGAACAAAGGTGAAATTGAAAACCATCTTATGCAAGTCAAAATTTTTTTTGATGAAGAGGATAAAAGGATAGGGATGACAGCTGCAAAAAGACAAAACATTGGCCTACACACACTCTTAATTGAGAAACAAGAATATAATCGCTGCTTTGAAATTCTTATTTCTGCTCTTATAGTCTTTCTAAAAGCCTAAAACAAAACAGAAAGCATAAACTCAACTACTCCCCAAATTTCTATCTTTAGGGAGCCTATCAATTTTGTTCATAACTTGTCACATATTTTCATCCTTTTATGACTATATATTGAGGTTGGAGAAAAATGGAACAGTGCCTTCTAATCATTCTGTACCAAAAAAAATGATATTTTCCCCCTAAATTTGAAATAGGTGGGGATGAATTTTAGAGAAGAAATATTGTGACTGGTTTATAATCCAGAACTCACGGCTGGGGTAACGGCTAAATTTCTCTCAAACTGCAAGTCAAGTCACAACACCCAGGGATAAAAATAGAGGCAAAAATGCAAAAACAAGGTAAAGGAAAAATAATAAAAGCTCTGCATGTGTCACCAGAATAAAAATAATAAATGTTATTTTTATTCTCACTCAAAAATTTTAATTTGATTATTAAGTGTTTCCATAGCGCATGCTACACAGAGGGTGCCACAGAAACTTACACACCCAGTCAACTTCTCAGCAACACTCACCGAGGGGTCACACAAGCAGCCCAGGTTATCTCTGGGGGTCTCTGTGAAGGGGCACTGTGCCAGAGGCCGGACTTCTTTGGGATGCGTTGGGTTGTAAACAGGATTCTTTAGAAGGTGGTTAAGACTTCCATGAGTTCCATTATTAGGAGCAGGTTTCAAATTCAGTAAATCTGCATAATTCCAAGAATGGTAAAGATTCACTTAAAAGTCTCAAAATCAAATAAATAGTAGACTTGTACTATGATTTTTATATTTTTTAAACCCTATCTATATGAGTCCTTAACTCTTTACCTAAAATAAAATGATAAACTCTCTTGGGTTTTAGAGTATTTATAACCATGCTATTCTTTATGGAAATACTAAGATATAGGCTGTACTTCTCTATAAAAATTTATGAGTTTTAATGAGTACAATAACTATAGTTAACATATGTTGAATGTTTATTATATGCCAATCACTATGCTAATAAAGTTTTCTTATTTAATCCTCTAAACAATTTAACAAGTCACTGTCAATATTTGGTAGATAAGTAATCAGAGCACTTTGCTCAAGGTCCCAAGCTACTAACATAATAGACCTAGAACTGAAACTAGCTTTGTCCACATCTAAGATTCATGCTCATAATAATAATAATAGCGACACTTACATAGTAAAGAACTTCCTCTATGCCAGGCACTGTTTAAGTGCTTGAGGATCTATTAACTCCTTTATGTATATCCACTCCCATTAAAAAAAAACATACTTAGGACATATTTTAGGTTTTGCAAATGCCCAGTATCATTATCAGAAAAAGAAAGTAATATTTAAGATGTAATACTCCACCCATTAAATGCTAATTAAGAAGTTACAGAGTAAACCAAGAATGTATTTAATGGGTTCGCCTTCATTTTTACAACCTTGACAAGGCCCTCCACTCAACTATTACTGCTGCCAGAGGTCCCGCCAGTTTGTCCGCCTTTCACAGGCCCCCCACTCCTTTCTCTGCCTTCCGCCCCTGAGCTGGTTCAGTGGTCACATCATTCAGCCCAGGGCCTGGCAAAGCACTAGGCACCGGGGATGTACGACCCTCCCCACCCAGAGTGTTGTACTTGACAGGCGTGCAGCCTAGTGCAAGAATCAGATACGTAATCAGATGGTATATTCAGCACATTTTTTTTCCAGTAACTCTGAGTCAGGAAGAAAAAAAGGTGGAAATGTGAGGCTCTATCTGGCCTCATCCACAAAGGTGCCCCTCGAGTAACCTATTTTTCATCACCCTATTCCAGCTCTGTTTTCAAGGGATGAAAGCTGCCTGTTCGCACTCACCGCACATTAAGTTATAGACTTCAATATTTTCAAAGGAATCAACTTCGATGCTGTGCTTGAGTCCAGGTCCATAGCCAATAAAGAGGGCCTAGAATGACCAGAAAAGGAGCAGTTTACGAACTGGTATGTGGTTGGTCAAATGTAAAGTACCACCCATGGAATACAGTCAATAATATTGTAATGATTCTGTAGGTGCCAGGTGGGTGCTAGACTTATTGGGGGAAATCACAAGTTATATAAATGTCTAACAGCTATGCTGTACACCCGAAACTAATATAATATTGAATGTCAACTGTAATTGAAAAAAAAAATACAAAATTTTTAAAAGTTACTTTATATTGTCTACATTGTACATATATAAACTGGTTATGTTAAGAAAAAAAATACTATGCCCAATGGACTTGGTGGAATTTTTTAAACCCCTGTTGCACAAATAATCTAGGACATCTAGGATATTTCTCTCAGTTGACCATAATTCCTGACTTGACATTCAGAACAGAATTCTGATGAAATCTATTTTGATCTGTGAAATGAAATATAAACCTCACCCAGCCCACCTCACAGTGTTGCAGGGATCAAATCAGATAATTATTGTGAGTATGTGTTTAAAAATTTAAAGTGAGAGGCAAATTTAATGTATTATCTACATTTAGAACATAAGTATGACATCTTTTCAAATCTTAACAAATTGTCTTTCATTTACTGTGGAGCAATATTATTAATGGACCAAAATATATACAAAATAACTATTGGAAATTTAGTTGGAGTCATATGTCACATTTTCATGAAATATGAATATAAATTTTAACAAAATTCTATTAATTTAATGCCCAAAGGAAAAGAGCTATATGAAAGTATATTATTCTTCATTATTTCTTATTCAAAACATATAATGTCTGTGTTTTTAAGTTTAAAACTTTATATATCAGTTTTTCTTTCAGATATAACCATTATTTTTAAAAATATGTAATAGGTATACTCACTTGCATATTTGAAAATATGTTGTCAGAGCCATGAAATCCACCTCCACAATATTTCCTTTCTGAGGGATTCCTAATTTTTACATAATATGAATTAATAATGTAAAGTCCATTCACAAAGCAAAATCGATAATCATGGCATTATTTTCATTAATAAAGAATAAGTGACTATTTTTTTTAAACAAACCAAGAAAATGAAAATAAAATCACCTGGCTTTGAAAAGCACTAAGAAATCACCTTTATCTTTTATTTTGTAGACAAATCAAATATAAGCAATACGGTACAGAGGGAAAAAACACAATTGTTGAAACAGAACTGGTTTTGAATCCTGCTTGTGATAATAATTAGCAGTGACTTTGGAAGTTTAATCATCTTGTCTTGGTTTCAATTTTGTCACGTGGGGTTGTTTGTAAAAATTAAATGGTTTAACCCAAAGAAATGCTTGAAACATAGTAGATGTTCACTAAATACTAGTTTTCCCATGAGGGTTAGAACCATCCTCTCTCCTATTTCCAAACACTAAAAGCACAGGTCTCTGGTAGAGACAGTGCAGTTCTGCTGAATAAATTCTGGTTCGCTGCTCATGTTTTGCTTGACAGGGCTATTTATCATCCCTGGCTTCCTGGCAACCATCAAAAGAGCTAATAATTGCCCTGGTTGTTGTAGCTAAGTGGTTAGAGCACCGGCCCATGACATGAAAGATCACAGGTTCAATTCCCAGTCAAGGCCACATACCTGGGTTGCAGGTTCCATCCCCAGCCCCTGTCAGGACACATGTTGGAGGCAATCAGTTGATGTTTCTCTATCATATTGATGTTTCTCTCTCTCTCCCCCCCTCCCTCTCTCCCTTCCACTTTCTCTAAAAAAATCAATAGAAAAAATATCCTTGGGTGTGGATTAACAAAAACAACAACAAAAAAGAGTTAATGATCAAGTTTTGAGATGTTAACCATATTAATTATCCAAATAATTGGCTGAACACACCAAAAAACTGAGGTTTATTGATGGATTAGTCTAACAAGTATGAAAGAATAACTGTCCAATAATCACGAAGGTAATTAGTTGTTATAAGGTAAAGAGCTTTTGCCAATTTGCTGGACTTTGGAGACATTATTAGGCATAAATGCAATGTGCAGAAGAGATACAATAGCAAGTGGTAAACAAATCTAGAGCACAAGAAATAATCACTATGGATGTGAGTGGACAGAGCAGTGGTTCTTAGCTGTGGGCGATCCCCCCCACCCCCACCCCTTGCCAGGGGACTGCTGGCAATGTCTGTTGACATTTTTGGTTGTTACAATTGTAGAAAGAGTACTTTTTCATCTAGTGAGTAGAAGCCAGAAATGCTTTCAAACATCCCACAATACACAAGCCAGCTCTCCACAATAAAGAATTATCTGATCCAAAATGTCAAGAGGCCAAGACTGAGAAACCCTAGAATAGAGTATAATCGTGTTTGAGCAATTTTCATATAATAACATTGTTGGAAAGGGCCCAGCGGCTACCTCGAATTACTGATAGATCAGACTAAGTTTACCTGGGAGGCCATCAGAACTTACAATGCAAGCTGCCACTGAGGGTCCAAATAGAAAGTCAGGGGCTCAATCCGGTCGCTTTTAGCAAAGTGCAACCGCTTGGGTAAGAACTGTTTTAGGTAAGGTCTGAAGTGCTGGTTTGGCTCCCGGCACTGAAATTGTAGAAGGCAAAGAAAAAAAAAAAAACATTAACTGTATATTTTCTTAAGTGCAAACTTCGTTCAAAAGTGCTTTCTAACTCCATATAAATTTTTTTCTCACAAATATTTTACCAGCATGCCCAATAAGTCACATGTGAAAAAATAAATGAGTTCTTACTATTTTTATAACATACAAGTTAAATACTCCCAGCTACTGAATATTTTTAGTTTTACATGAAATCATAATCACTGCATAGATGTCCCAGGATGCTTAGTGTGTCACCAGATTACATTTGAGTTACTTCTGATGATGCTATTTTCAAACACCCGTGAAACCACAATTGTACGAATTTTCTATCAAGTAAAAATAAAGTAGTGTAGATAACTCAGCTCTAGGATAAAAACTTACCTAAAAAAATATGCCTTAAAAAAGACAGGTAGAAAACATACTGTGATGCTAACAGTGTTTATGGTGGAACAGCTATAGGTTTTTTTCCTTCTACTGTTTTCAATTATGTATTTCTTATACTGTCACATAAAGTTAACAGTGTCAATAAACAAATTCTTAAGAACTTGCAAACCTAGATTACTGGGATCTGTCCTTAAAGATCTTTAGAATCCACAGAGCATTTAAATGTTGGCCTGCCCTGGCCGGTTTTGCTCCGTGAGTGTCAGCCTGTGGACAGAGTGGTCACGGGTTCGATTCCCAGTCAAGGGCACATACCTGGGTTGCAGGTTAGATCTCCAGCCCCAATTGGGGTCATGCAGGAGGCAACCAGTCAATGCGTATCTCTTATATCGATGTTTCTCTCTCTCACATCAATGTTTCTCTCTCTTTCTTCCTCCCTTCTACTCTATCAAAAAATCAATGGTGAGGATTAACAAAAATAATAATAATAAGTAAATAAAAATAAATGTCAGCTCAGTTACTCAAAACTTCTAATCCTATAATCCCAAGAATACTGAATATTATACAAAACTAACAGTAATTAGATAATAGAAACATAAAGATACTCACAGAAAGATTCCTGGCAATGCCTTCATAATTAACTGAAAGGGGACAAAGATAAGAATAATTGTTGATGGTATGCTACAATTAGAAATAAAAATAATACAAAAATATACACTGTCAGACTCAAACCCTATATTTAAATACCAAAATGGGTTTCAAACAGCTCATTTAAATCATTATATATTAGCCATTGACAGGTAGCTCAATTGGTTAGAGTGTCATCCCAATATGCCAAGGTTGGGGGTTTGATCCCTGGTGGCACATGCAAAAATCAACCAATGAATGCATAAATAAGTAGAACAACTTGATGTTTCTCTTTATCCCTTCCTCTCTCTCTAAAATCAATAAAATAAAAAAATAATAAATACTAATTAAAACTGTCATGCATATAGAGTCTATGTTTTGGGTCACTATGTTAATATATTTGCATAACCATTTTCTTGAAGCAAAATCTATTTTTTCTTCATGAATATTCAACAGTGTCTATAAAACACATTACACTGCAGTGCTTAAAACTAACTCAAATTTTTTGTGTGGTTATTTGATGTTTATCCCATCACTGTATTCTCTCCCAATTTTGATAACTGTCAGAACAGCTTTCTTCTTTCATTTTAGAATCTCATTGTAACAAAAAGATAAACAAAACTGCCCTAAGTATCTGAAAGTTACCAAGAATGATAATCAAAAAGAAAGCTATACAGCCCTGGCCAGTGTAGCCCAAGTCAGCTGAGTGTTGTCCCATGCACTAAAATATTGATGGTTTGATTCCCAGTCAGGGCACATGCCCAGGTTTTGGGTTCAATCCCCAGTAGGGGGGCATGCAGGAGTCAGCCGATTGATGTTTCTCTCTCTCTCTCTCTCTCTCTCTTTAAAAATCAATAAAAATATTTTTTTTAAAGAGGCATATACATAAAAATTCTTGAGGAAAATTGTCTTCCAATTTTATAAAAGTGATAGTCTTACTATTATGAATTCTCCTATCTATAACAAGATTTTTTGATGTGTAAAATACACAAACAAAAAAAAAGGGGTATAACAGAGGTGCAAACAATTATGAAAGTCTTGAGTTGCGAAAGAATAAACATTTAAAAATATTTTGTGGCAGTCTAGGTGGTCAAAAAAGAATGTAAAATTTCTTGTTTACGAAATACATTCTTACTGCTTTTTGAAATGGTTTAAGAAAGTCATTTCTGAGGACAGATTATAGAATTAATCACCTCTACCAGCATTCCTCCTCATAATAGATTATTCTATAACCTCAGTAAGTTATTTAAATGGAATGTCATTAATTAAAGTTTAATAAATGTAGCTGAACTTTTCTGTTAAGTTTTTTTTTTTTTTTTTGTACAAGTAATCTTGAGCCTAATATAAGAAAAACTCACAATACGGCATAAAACTATACTAAGCTCATCAAATCCTATTCTTAGTCATGAATACCAGATAGTTAAGTGGTTAGACGTGTCCCCACATCCAGAACCTTTGGATGCAGGAGATCTACACTGGAGATTATTTAATTTTGAAAAAGAAATTACTTTAATTGATTCCCTCCTGCTTACACATATAATGATTCAGAGTAATGTATTCTAAATATAATCATATTCAGAGTCAGCACAGAGCTATACTTACATGAATAGTATTTATCAGGGACATCAGAGGGTCTCAACCGAGCTGCAGGTCCATATATAACTTTAATATTTTTAACATCCCCCAGATACTTATTCAGGTACACATATTTCTTACAACTGCCTTGTTCCATGCCTAGGTGGGAAAAAAAAAGCCCCCAAATATATTGCAACTTTAATAAAAATTTAACATGTAGAACAAAATTTCTTCCACTTCCAGAATTTAATTCAATAACATGTGCTGAGAGCTCATGTTAGTTAAAGATCTAAAAGGGAAGGCAGAATTTCAGCTTTCTCTACCACTTCCCTTAGAGAAAATATTTCCCCTTTCCTTTATCCAAAATTAGTTTAATATTTCTTATTTATGCATTATAATATCTTTATATCATTATGCAAGTGAACAGAAATATCACATTTTTAGACTAAATATGAAAGCCCCATTATTTTCCCCAAATCACCTAGGATATTAACTAGGAATATAAAATTCTTATTCTTGTTCCAAGACTAGAGTTTCTTTAGGATATGATTTTTAAGAATGTTTCTAGAAATAATTTTCAGTAATTATTTCTGAAGCAAACGAGAACAAAACAAACAAAAACTTGTTTCTGTTTTTTTTAATACACACTACTTCTATAGTCCCAAGGCTATACAGAAACATGTGAAACAACGATCACAGTAAGTAACAGTGAAATTAAAATAGTGCCAAAATTAATATATACTGCCTCCAAAGTCAGGCTTATGATGCTAAGAAAAGATAGAAAGGTACATAATAATTGTTCAAATTAAATCTAAAATTATTAGAATAGATTTACCAAAATTTAGTATGAAAAAACATTTTTTTTAACTATCTAAATTCCTGGTGTAAGTCTTCCCCAAGATGGGTGCAGTTTGATGGAAATAATGAAAAGAATTAATCAAGTAAATTTGAAGGGTAATTTATGCAAATTCAGATTACCATGATCTGAAATGAGGATGAGGTTCAGGCATCGGTGCAAATTCAGCTCTTTTAGACCATCCATCAGCATGCCAATCATGTTGTCAACCCTCTGCAATGCTTTAATGACCTAAAAAAGAGAACCAGTCTTATGTGATGCATTCCATACTAATGGCTATTCCAATATAAAGCTATCTCTAATAAAAAAGAAAGAGGGAGGGAAGGAAGGTAGGTTGGTAGGAAGGAAGGAAGGAAGGGAGGGAGGGAGGGAGGGAGGGAGGGAGGGTCGGTCCAGTGGATGCAACACAATGATGAACTAATTCACATTAGCCTAAGGTAAGTCAAGTAACACAGGAAGGGCCTGAAATAACTGCTGACCAGTAACAGTGAAAGGGCCAAAATTCCACACATGCTTAATCATAAGTCTTGGAAATGGCATTGGCTGAACCGCTGAGCTCTCTCTCCCTGGGTTCAGAATGCCAATCTGTGGACCAGACCCAGTTCACACCGAAGTAATACGAACCCAAATTCATAGTTCTTGGCCAGAAACAAATGTATTCTTAATTAGCACTTCATTTCCTACAATCAATTTCTCCTTGTTCTTTCTGATCATTTAAATGTTTACTGCATAAAGGAAATGGTTCCTCATTTTCAAAAATATTAAAAATATTCATTCATTAATTAATTTTTGTTACAGATGTTTTTCCTTTTTCTCCCATTGACACCATCCTTCCCACTACCGCCCCCCGCCACCCCTTCACAGTATTGTTGTCTATGTCCATTGGTTGTGCATATATGCATATAAGTTCTTTGGTTTATCTCTTCCCACCCTCCCCCCACCCCTTCCTCTAAAGTTTGTCAGTCTGATCCCTACTTCCTTGTCTCTGGATATATTTTGTTCATCAGCTTATTTTGTTCATTATATTCCACAAATAAGTGAGATCATGTGATATTTGTCTTTCTTCGATTGGCTTATTTCACTTAGTATAATACTCTCCAGGTCCGTCCATGTCGTCTCAAAGGATAAGAGATCTTTCTTCCTCACAGCTGCATAATATTCCATTGTGTACCACAGCTTTTTTATCCACTCATCTATTGATGGGCACTTGGGCTGTTTCCAGATCTTTGCTATTGTAAATAGTGCTGCTATGAACATAGGATATGAACATATATTCTTTCTGATTGGTGTTTCAGGCTTCTTAGGATATACTCTTAGTAGTGGGATCACTGGATCAAATGGCAGTTCAATTTCTAATTTTTTGAGAAACTCCATATTGTTTTCCATAGTGGCTGCACCAGTCTGCATTCCCACCAGCAGTGTACTAGAGTCCCCTTTTCTCCACACCCTCACCAGCACTTGTTTGATGATTTGTTGATGGCGGCCACTTTGGCAGGTGTGAGGTGATACCTCATAGTCATTTTAATTTGCATTTTTCTGATGATTAGTGATGTTGAGTATTTTTTCATATGTCTCTTGGCCATTTGAATGTCCTGTTTGGAGAGGTGTCTATTTAGTTCCTCTGCCCACTTTTTAAATGGGTTCTTTGTCTCCTTTTGTTGAGTTGTATAAGTACTCTACATATTTTGTAAATTAACCCCTTATCTGATGTATCACTGGCAATTATGCTCTCCCATACAGTGGGTTCCCTTTCCATTTTGATGCTTATTTCTTTTGCTGTGCAGAATCTTTTTGGTTTGATGTAGTCCCATGTATTAATTTTTCCTTCGTTTCTCTTGCACTAGGCGATGTATCAGTGAAAATTCTGCTGCGTATGATGTCTGAGATTTTACTGCCTACATTTTTTCCTAGGATTTTTATGGATTCACGAGTCATATTTAAGTCTTTTATCCATTTTGAGTTTATTCTTGTGTATGGTGTACGGTGATGGTCTAGTTTCATTTTTTGCATGTAGCTGTCCAATTTTCCCAACACCATTTATTAAAGAGGCTGTCTTTACTCCATTGTATGTTCTTGTCACCTTTGTCAAATATTAGTTGAGCATAATGTCTTGGGTCAATTTCTGGGTTCTCTGTTTGTACTTAAATTTTAAAATAAGAACTCGTAGAAATACAACCCATTCTTTTCGTATAAACTACATGTGTTTTAAGAACACAAAATGGCCCTGGCTGGTTTAGCTCAGTGGTAGAGTGTCAGCCTGCGGACCAATGAGTCGCGAGTTTGATTCCAATCAAGGGCACACGTACCTCGGTTGCTGTTCGTCCCCAGCCCTGGTGAGGTCCTGCAGGAGGCAACCAGTCAAAGTAGCTCTATCACACTGATGTTTCTTTCTCTCTTTCTCTCTTTCTCTCTTTCTCTCTCCCCCTCCCACTCTATCTGAAGATATTTGAAAAAATATCCTCGGATGAGAATTAAAAAATATATATATAGAATGGCAAATGATTTGGGCAAACTGCTTTTAGCATTTCTCTTTTCTCTCTCTTACAAAACTAAAAACTCTTATGTACTTTTGCGTGTGCTTTCTACAATATAACAAATCAGTCTAATCTTCATTTACAGTCAGTGTATTTCACTGTTATGTGAAACAAGCTCTTTCAGTACGGTCTTTCATTCACTCAAAGATATCTAAGCAACATGAACTGCAATCTTCAAGTATTGAGAGAAAATGTGTTTTGATGTGTCAGTAATAGTAAGGAGAGTTTACAAGTTGGTGAATATGATCAAAAGCAATGGGCTCAACCTTGAATAAACATGAATCAGAAAAGCAGGTAATTTGCAAAATCTTTAGTGAACTAGAAAAGGCAGCATTGATTTTAAAACGTTATATGATCTGATAATCAAGCAATTACAAAATAATCCTTAGACATACTTGTAGCCAAACTGACCGAGACATGAGAGCCTTAAAATTATACTAGCATCTTGGTTCAGACCAAGATAACGGCTACGAGAAACCTTTCCCTTTGACCAGTTACGACGTGGCCACAGTGTTGTCCACACATCTTCCTTATCCCACCTCTAAGAAGGAACATTTCTGCTTTATGAACAGTCAAAGCAAGGGCACATGGGGTTACTAACTATACTGGAGCTGCTAGAGATGGATTTTGCCAGAAGAACACAAAGGATAAATAGAGACCTAAATGAGGGTCAACTTCCCTCTCTCTTTGCCCCTTTTTACCTGATGAGATGGCACCCAAGAGGAGCCTACTCTCAGAGAGAGGGAAATCTAGGGTAGACCCAGAGGAAGGGAAAACCAAGGAAAGATGGTTTAGGCAGCTGTTTTACATTAAAGTGAGAAAAATGAGTATGCTTTTTCCTCTCTTCCTTCTGCTATTGCTGAAGTAAGCATTTAGAGCCCGTAGCACCCTCAAACACAGGGCCCACATAGACCTAACAGGCCAGGCTTTGATCAACCTTATGCTAAAGAGTCCTTGCAGTATACACACTCCCCAGCCTGGGCTACCTGGGCAGGAGATCTGATGAGAATTTGGGAGTAAAACTCTAGTTATTAAGAGTCTGTTTTCCTGATTTTTTTACCTCTTGGAATCATATGGGGGGAAATATAATTAGACAAGAATTCTGAGATTAGGGATCCTGGCAATATATTTCTCTATTAACATGACCAACAATATTGACAGATCATTATTTATCGTTTCTTTTCCTATTGCAGATCAAGGGTAAAATAGAAGTCGTAAGGGAAGTCAGGTTAGAGGCACTAGGAAAGGAGTCCGTATTGTTTTCTGTTCAGATGTTTCCTATGCTCCATGGTACAAAATAATATGGCCACACAAAACCTGAAAGCAGTATCTGAGGGTTTAAAACACTGTGTACGTTATAAACAAAGCCAGGAGTGGGCTAAGTTCCCAAAACAGTGTCAGGTCAAATAAGATGTTCCATTGAGAACCTTAGTCTGTTTCCCTCTCTCTCGCTTCCTAGGAACCACTCAATGAAATGATGATCATTTGAAGCACTCTGTACTTTTGATAAAATTGCTATTCCTTTGATGCCCAAGCTCTGTGATAAGCATGGTCTCAGGTGATCACAGATATATTTCCTAAGGTGCAGAGCTCACAGGTGGCTTCTTCCGCTTTTTGACATATTAGTCTATATTTTCCTAGAAAAGCGGAGTCTTGCCCATTTATAAAACTTTCAAAGAGCACTTAGTATTTAGACCAATGTAGGGGGATACGGAGTGGATAAAGGCTTTGGAATTGAAAATATCTAATTTAATTCATCGTCAGTTCAATTTAGCACAGTTAAAATAGAAACAAAACAATTCTCCCAACTCTTATTTTGATTAATGTGCATTCTTTGGTTTCGTCTAACTGTGTTTATTAATACTCACTCTTTCCAGAAATCATGGAATCTTACCAAATAGTCTAGCAACCTACTTCAAATCAAGGTTCAGTTAGCCGTTACCAGGTTTAAGGAAGTAATCACTGATAAAATGTACTTACTTCACTGCTGACTGGTCCATAGGCATGACCTGAAGAATCTGGTTCTTCTAAATACAGAGTGTAAAAGTGTGGTCTAAATCAAACAGTATCAAAATGTAATATTTTATGAACACATTGCAAGACAGAATGAAAAGAATAATTCAACAATCGATAGTGAACACAAATTATACAACACTGGGGTAACCTTTCTAAACTTGCTCAGAAATAATTGACAGGTTTCAAATTCTTCAAAATGTGACTGTAACAGCTCACTAAAGAATTCATTTGGATATGAAACCTCAGAGCCAACACCAAAGTTTTCCCGCAGTCTATTTTAAAATATTATGTAATTTCTGTGAGACACAGGAGCATTTACAATACATACCTTTCATCGTTAGGAAGCTGCAGCCATTCAAGAACAGCTAAAATTCTTTCTTCAAATGGCACTGAACTAAAATAAGAATAAACAAAATGAAACAAATCTGGGGCAACTGTTTAGGTCTAAAATATAAATGTTTATCTTCATGAAATTGCATTAAGAAAGACTAAAACAATCTAATGCATCAATGGTGTCTGAAGCCATGTACGAGTTTTATTTGGAAACTTCAATTTGTTTTCCCAACGAAGGAACAAAAGTCAAGTTCTACACATATGAAAGTTGACATTGGGCTTAAAATTTTGCTTCTAATACTGTATTCAAGGATATTTTTCTTATTCCTGAAAATAGCCATGGCTGCCACGTGAAATCCCATTTTTCAAAGAGCACCTCCTGAAGACTCACTTACTGATGACTCAGGAAAAGCGGGCAGGGGGCACCTGAAGGGCAGGCAGCTCCCCAGGCAACACCCTCTGAGGAATTAATTATACCTTCCTCTGGGCACAGGGTTTTGTTTACAAAACTCCTCCGGAGCATGTGCTTGCCCAACCGCAAATACAGTTAGGTGTATTCTCTAGGAGACTTGAGAAGCCAGAGAATATATATCTCTAATCTTTGAACCCCCTGTGCCCACTATAGGACAGGGCAATAGAACCTCAATTACTCCCCATGGGATGAAAATAATAAGGTAGAAAGAGGCCTTGCGGTATGCCCAAGGGACTTGTAAAGAATTAACAATAGCATAAGGTCACCAAAACAAAAGTCATTATGCATTTCTCGTCTAGAATTTATGACTTTTTCTGTTGATATCCCAAATATGCTGTTGTATTGATTTTGCAACAGAAATTTCCAAAGTATAAAATAAATAAAATTATTTTGGTAATCTCACTAAAATTACCCAAAGGGAGTCTTCCAAAAAAGAGTTTGTTCTTTTTTTCTCAATACATCACGGATTTTTAATATTGCAGGACAGTTATTCTAATAGGTTACTCACATTAGATGGCATATTTATTGAGGTAATTTGGAAATACGAATCCAGAGATGCCATCAATATCTTCTTTTAAATAATATTTTCAGACACCGGAGTCAGTCCTGCCTGTGTCCTCTTTCCTTCCTCCCTCTCCCTCTCCTAGCTCGTTGTGTCCCTGGAGTTCAAATGGGCTATGCCTCCGCTCCGAGACTTGCACCACGACTTCATTTCTTATTCCTGCCCGAAGATCTGAGTGCAACCCCCAACATGACACCAAAGCTTTCTGGAAAACCTCTAGAGAAAAACTTGTTTTACTCTCATCATCCATGTAAAACTCTTAGAAATAGAGTCCTTATTCTGACAGTTCTCACTTTTCAGCCAACATACACTCAAATGCTAGAGCTTAGGGCTTGATCAAATGGAGATGCTGGGTTCAAAACAAGCTGTTCTACGTTAAAGGTTCTAGAAAAAGTGCATCTACACATACCCGTTATATATCTTATAGATGTCCGGTAAAGTTCCATTAATTTCCACATCTGAGCCTGGCCAGAAATATGTGGCAGTCTTCAGGCCGTGATATTTAGCTGTGAGCCAAATCTGGAAAACGTAACAAAGGAAAGTTAGGAAATTATGTAACTATTCTTCTCTTAGGAAAAGACAGATTCATGCAATAACAAGCTAGGATGTTGTTAAGGTTAATAAGATCCAGCGGTTAGATTTTAAAACAATCATGCGGTATGACTCTGAACAACAGCAAAAATAAATTAAATAATGAGAGGTTAAATTAACCTAAAAGATAGGGACATAAGTCAATTGGCACGTCCTGGAACTTTTAGAGCCATAACCCTACTTAACAGGTTCCCCCGAGAAAAGAAAATTCACAAATATGCATCCAATTTATCGACACTTCAAGTTATATAACTAACATTCATGAAGCATTTATTATTGCCAATTAGAGTTCTAAGTTGTAATCCTATAACTATGCTAGATTATTAATTTAAATAATCCTCAAATTACCCTGTGAGGTAGTTAACAGAAGTACCCACAGTACAGGTATGAGAAAACTAAGGCACAGACAAAAATAATTTGTCCAAAGTCACAGAGCTTTAACATCAGAGCTAAAATTTGAATTTTATGACCTGCAAATTAAACATCATGGTCTTGTTCCTTCTAAGAGTATTATTAAGATTAACCAAATAAACCCTATAGAATTATTGTAACAATATACAGAAATAGAAAGCCTACATCTAAATCAGGATCAGAGAGAATCTTCTAAGTTAGCATATGCAAAAGAAGTCAAATTGTACCTCCTTCAGAAATAATTAGCTTTGTGTAGATCAAGATATTACCTGTCAGCCCTGGCTCGTTTGGCTCAGTGGTTAGAGCGTCGGCCCAAGAACCAAAGAGTCGTGGGTTTGATTCTGGCCAAGGGCACGTACCTCGGTTGCAGTTCGTCCCAGGTCCTGGTTAGGTCATGCAGGCGGCAACCAATCCGTGTGTCTCTCTCACATCAATGTTTGTTTCTTTCTCTCTCTCTCTCCCTCCCCACCTCTCTCCCCTTCTCCCCATCTAGCTGAAGATAAATTAATATATATATATATATATTTCTTGCCCTTCACCTACTGCCACCCGCTACTAGTACAAGAAGGGAGAACCAAACAGGAAGGAAAATGGCTCAGAACAACCCAAGCCCAGTTCTGAAACAAACTGCTACTCTCATTATGCAATGACACAAACTGCATTTAGGATTATCAGCATTCATTGCCATTTACAAAACGATGGCCACAGACACAGTACATGAAGTAGGTTATTTAGAGTGCCAGGGAATCTGGTATTTGACTCTGATTGCAGTAGATGAGAATAATACAAGAAACTGTTTTCGTAGCTAAAACAAACAACTTACTGGTTCTCCTTTGTACCACTCAGGATTAAATTTCTCTTTACTTCTAAGTGCAAAGGAAGCATTCATTTTTGGATCGTACATTTTATTGTCAATTATGCCATGGGATTCTGGATAAAGACCCTAAAAAAATATAAAATACATGTTTCATGCAAGTTATGAGTGTTTTAATGTTAAAGTCACACAACAACTTCATTAAAGAGAAACAGGTACTGAAGCTACAAGAAACTTAACAGCTTAAGGAGAAAAGAAAACAATGGGTATTGTCAAAACACAACCAACCACTCAAGATGTTATGTAGCATTTGTGCTTACATCATGTAATAGGAGATGATAAATTCACAATGCTACAGATGAAGGGCTATAGAAATGGGCAGTCTCCCAAATTTTGAAGAAAGTACTCTGTTGTCTTTTTGCACTGCTGAGTAAAGCATTTCTGCAGAACAAACCTTTTTTGCTAGGATCCAAGTATAGCTTTTATCAATCAATACAAGCTAAGCTAAAGTATTAATTTTCTTGCTTCAAGGCCAAATGAATTCTTTTTTTTTTTTTTTTCTGGATTCAAATTAAATCTGGAAAGTTCGACTGAAACAAAAACAGGGCTGTAATCCTACCAGAGTGAGACAGAGTGACTTGCTCACTCATATCAAGATGACTGAAATGACAAGTTGAGAACACATGAGTATGAGATAGTTTTGGTACTCAAATAATGTAAGTTACCAAACTAGCAAGGAAAAAACAACAACAACAAAAACAAGATATAAGAATCAGAGATCTTAAAACTTAAAGGAAATCGCCCTGGCCAGTTTGGCTCAGCGGTTAGAGAGTCGGCCTGCGGTCCGGAGAGACCCGGGTTCGGTTCCCGCTAAGGGCACGTACTTCGGTTGCAGTATGTCCCCGGCCCTGGTTGGTCGTGCGGGTGGCAGCCACTCGATGTGTCCCTTCACGTCGATGTTTCTGTCTGTCTCTCCCTTCCTCTCTCTCCCTCCCACTCTATCTGTACAAAAAATGGAGGGATGTCCTCGGGTGAGGATAAACTTAAAGGAAATCAAGAAATCATTTATTGAGGTCTTTGGTCACCTCCTTCACAGATGAGAAAACTGAAACTCAGAAGATAACGTGATCTTCCTACAGCGACAGGTGGTTAGTGGCAGAGCAAAGACCAGAACACAGGTTTCTTGACTTAACTACACATTGGAAAATATGTTTTGGGGTGTTTTTTCTCTGATCTGATATCTAATTAATCTCTCCAAAAATGCTACATTAACATCTCCCACTGTAAATGTGCAAGAGCCGAAAGGCGGAGCTTACGGTGACAATGCTGTAGTGGTTGGGGAACGTTTTTGTTGGATACACCGGCCTCATGTTTTTAGCATACGTTCCACAGTTTTCTACACAAAAAAAATGAAAGACTGTTATTCAACACAATTGACAATCTGTTTACTTCATTTAACTTTGATACCACAGCCTTCTAGAAATTGCATAACAAACTTGAAGTCTATAATCATATACAAATTCAGGGTGAATTATAAACTGTGACCTCAGATTCAATGTTAAGTTTAGTGTTTCTTTTTCTCATAGTCAAACAACAGTAAACGAAACAATTAATCCAATTAGGCTGTGGACCCATGCTCATGAATAACATTGAGTTCTGGATGGGCCATTTGTAATAATGATGCTGGCTAGGTCTTTGTTACTATTTAGTGGTCACATACCTAAATTGCAAGAGTTAGTATAAAAACAAAACAAAACAGACCACCACCACAACAAAACTGAACTAGCAGCTAAATCTGTAAAATTAAAACCAGGGCGAAGCACTGGCTGGGATGATAGCGCCGCGACCCATAGATTCAGAAGCAGCTCACTTTGGACAAGCTCAATGCTGCAGGAAGAAAAACGGCGTATTCTGCTTCTAGTCAGAGAAAGCGCAGACGTCAGACTGTTCCTGACTGAGCCCTGGTACCACGCTCTTCTCCTACTATTGAGAAAGGAACACATAACTAATGATTCTGGGATTTGCACACCTCATTGCCTGAAAGTGTTTCTTACATTGGCATGTATCTCTCTCACTGCCTTCCAAACAGTTCATGATTACAGACCACATTCCCCAATTATCCCAAAGCTAGACTTAGGGTAATTAAGTACTGATTTTCTTTTAAGCTTTACATGTAGTCACCTACAGCTACTTGATTCTGAACTCAGGATACCATGTTTGGTGCCATGGAGACGAACCTTCCCCCGAAAGGTAACAGAGGGCCAGATGTATGCTTCTAAGCCCAAGGTTCTGGCTGATCAGAACAGGCCTTCCTTGCCTATGCAAGCTCTTCACAAGGAGTTCTGATGTCAGATGATATTTATAAAAACTATTTTCTTCCAGTTAGAAATCAAAAACTCAAATTTTTAGAAGTTTTCCAGAATTATTTTAGCTTGCCACAAGAAAAGTACAATACATGTACATATGTATTTACTGAGAGTGATTTTACTATTTCAACCAATTTCAGATGCTCAAGTCTGGTAAATAATATTTTAGAATTCCAGAACACTTAAATAGCTACATTTACTTACTTCTAGTTCAGTCCAGTATTATACTGTAGCTATTTAAATACTGATCACTGATAAATGAGCAAAGTTCTACAGTTTTTATCCCCATACACAATTTTTGTTTCCTTTTAAAAAACAATGATGATATACAAGTGATGGGTAATTTGATTGAAAACGGTGGCATTAATACTGAGAAAACACCATTCTATTACATCAGTAACTTATAGAATAATCATTCAATTAAGACTTGACTGAGACAAAAAAATTGGAAGGATGCTACAATACAAGATATTCTAGGATAACTAGCAGGCAAATATTCTACGTCTACACTACTAATATCATATCAGAAATACCATCAGTTTTTGAGATTTTAAGATATAATACTTATTAAATGAATTAATTATTTTCCCATGGAAAAAAATACAGATTTCTGAGAAAAAAAATTATATATGTAAATATATACATATATAAGCCAAGAGATAAAAGTCCTAAGATTATTATCTTAAAAGTTTTTAAAAGGCAGCTTTAGAGTAATTACAGTATTAAGACTGGTTCCTTATCATCAGGTTCAATCATTTGTGTCAGAGAAGTTTAGTAAAACAGTCAAGTTCAGCCAGTACTTTTCCAAAAAAGACTGTGTTCCTCATCTATCTCATTGAAATCGTGATACTCCAATAGTAAACTTTGAAGTTACTCACTCAGTCTGCTAATAACAGGAAGAAGTCCACCCCAAGTGTGTAAATATTCTGCCCTGAAACCATCCAAAGAAAATAAGAGGGTAGGAGGTTTTTCAAACCTAGGCAATAAGAAAAAAACAACAAACAAAAAAAAAAACATGTTTAAAGAAAGAAGACACATCCAGGGAAGATTTTCCACTGAGGTTGGTTTGTAATCTAAAGTAAACTAACAAGCTCAGAGAGCACCCTCTTGAAGGATACTTTATAAGCATTTCTACTGATATACATGCTTTTATATTTTATTATATATCTATCAATCATCAAACAGTATTTATTAAGCACACATACCAAAATATCATTCATGGTTTCTTCTATTCCATGAGCTACCCAAATAATATTAAAATGTAATATTTTCTCAATATGCAGCAGAATAATTTTAAAACACAGTATTTTCTAAATTATGTTCTTGTTTCCATTAATTTATTTTTCCTGAACAACCATTTTCTGATATTGTCTCTATTTGAATCTAATAGATGGTACCTAATATCACATAAATTATATGTAATAGTTTCAAGTTTAATATATTTAAAAGATGTTAATATTTAACAGAGAAGTTTAAGAGGTATTTACTGCCTTTAAATATGTAAACAACAGCACACACACATACACACAGTTAAAGTGTGCGGTATGGGAATCTAAATAGGGAGGCGAAAAAGGGGGGAAAAAAACCCCACATACAATGATATACTCAGCAAAAGAATAACTATAAACAACTATTACATGGCTATACCAAACAGGCATGGTTCAGAAATTTTTTAGCTTCTATTGATATCTGGTGGCTGGAGGACAGTTATATATCATTGGATGACCATGAAAAAAACTTTCCACTGAAATTTGCTCAGTAAATCAAAATTTGAGAGCCAATGTTTACCTTGCCTTTTTTTTTTCAACCGATCTCCTCCCCAGCTTACTCTCATATACAAACACAAATAGAAAAAGGAGCAAATGTGTATATAATTATTAAATTTACACTAACTAGTGTTTGTACCACTGTTCTGTTGGGTGACTCTGCAGAATCAGCTGCATACAGTCTGAATGATTTGTATCTGTATAAAGTTATTTATAGTCAATCAATAGAAAACATAAAAACAACTTACTGGATCACCAGGTAAATATACTGCCAAAATAATTTCCAGAATAAAATGTGTTTTATACTATGATCTTCTTGTAAAGAAAAGAGCTGCATGTTTCAACTAAAAGAGTCAACATTACAATTGAAAAATAATGATCAGTGTTTAGAAGGAAAAGAAAAATTCAAAATTCACTAAGTCTAAAATTTCCAGTATACCTTGGACTTAACAGGCAGCTTAGGGTACATGAGAAGTGTCCTTTGAAAAAAAGTCTCTTCTTCTGGAACTTTTTAGTTTGAGTTTAGTTTTTTCTATTGCTATTACTATTGTTTTAAACAACAAAAATATATTCTCCCATCCAAAAGAAAACATAATACACAACCTATAAAGCAAAAATAAGTTATGTACATAAACAATCAATTAAAATACAGATGTAAAATTTTTAATAGTCTGGAAAAATTATCATTTTTAAAGAGGTAAAAATTTATTTCTTAAGATGAATAACTCAAATTATATGAGGTAGATCTCAAGTGGAGCAAAGCTAAATGTATCTAACATCTTTTATAAAATTGTCACTCCTTGAATTCCAAAAAAACGTTTTTGATGGCCTAGCATATATAAAGTACTCTGCAAAATACTCTAAGGACAAAAAGAACAAATATGAATTGTAAGAATTATGTGACATCCTTTCACAGACATGTTGCTTATCCCCCAAATTTATAAATGAACCAAAATGGAAATAAATAAATAGAAGCTGTAATTTGTTACAAGTTCAACTCTCAAAACTCAAAATGAAAGTAAAGGGCCTTCCATACCAAGAAGGAAGATACAAATATTTCCACCCAATACACATGAGTACTGAACACTGCATAGTCGAGACCTCTCTTTTTCCACCATTTTCCAGAGTGAGGGATCACACCACCCTACACCATCTCTACACCCCCAGTGCCAAATATCAGGCTTGACTAAAAAGCATGTTTAAGGAACCAATGAATAATTATTATTTTTATCTTTTTAATTTGGAAAGAAAAAAATGGAATTTCTTGCCCTGGCCGGTGTCCTCAGTTGGCTGAGGGCCATCCTGTGTGCCAGAAGGTCGCCAGCTCCCTTCCCCAGCAGGGCACATGGCCAGGTTGGGGGTTCGATCCCCCATCAGGGTGCAGGCAGGAGGCAACCAATCAATATTTCTCACATAGATGACTCTCTCTCTCTCTAAAGTCAATAAAAACATTTTAAAAAATGGTATTTCTAAAAAAGAAAACATTTGTATCTCAATGCACCTTACCCTGCTGGACACTGTGGCTCATTAATGCTCTCACACGTTTCTTCCACCCAACTTTTCTCACCTAAAATATTTTAAAGAAATAAAACGAGATGAACACACTTAACAGTAACAACAATGTGATGTTTCTGAGACACATTAGGACAGATTCCCAAAAGAAAATGTGTTAACATTTACATAGATAACATGGGGCATGATTCTAGGGAAATAGAATGGAAAAAGGCAGGGAATTCTGTTTCAAAATAAAAATCTGTTTCCAAAGACTTGGCTGATATTAGTAATAAAAAATGAGAAGTATAATTGTAGGATTCAAACAGAGTATTATATTTGTGAGATGCTGAAGGCATCTTTTCCATTTTTAAGTTGTTCATATTTTCCGCCAAAATTTAGAACCCTCCTTCTATCCCACCCAATAAAATCTTCTGGTATTAAATCCACGAGGTCTTAGTTGCTCACAAATAGAGCCAGACAGCGCCACGGAATTTCAAGGAACCTTGTAACATCTAGACAAGACATCTCAATAACATCAGTTTGCATACTACCCTATAATCTTTGGCAGTAATTTCAACTTCACTCTTTCAATGCATGGCAGACTTTTTGTTTTACTATAAAAGTGTGAGATGGTGTCATTTGCTAAGAACTCATAATCTACCTATGGAGAGAAAGTAAACACATAAGACAACAATAATTGAGAAGAGAGAATATTCAATTAAGTTTGAAATGAGTGACACAAATACCATGTGAGACAGTAGGTCAGAATGAAGTCGACAGGGTGAATACTCCTCTCCCTGGGTTTTGACATTAGCTTCCTTTTAATGGTCTAAAATATGACCTATTCAACTCTAAGAACCTAATTTGTTTAAAAAGAATATGTAATCTTAATAATATGCCTTAGGGAGCAGAGTTTTCAGTACTTTCCCATTACACATTTCACAAAATGAACAGATTATCCTAAATCCCTAAATCATTTCTAGCAAGAATGTAGGCACTGTGTGGTCATTTTCCCCTCAGACATGATGTCATCATATCTGATGCAGCTATATTCTTTTTTTAATTTGAAGAAGGAGTCACTCCCTTCCTGAGACCCCCTGAACTGGCATTCCCAGACATTCTCAGTAGCTATGTGACTACTCCCTTAGGAAATGAGGACCCTGTGGAAAAGTTAAAGTCCCATGTTCATCTGAAACAAGCCTCGTGGTTCCTAAGAGAGGTGGAGGCCATCATAAGGGACCGTGAGGACTACAGAGATATTGTCCCTTCCTCCAGCACAGTCCCTGAAACCCAGAGCCAGCTCTCACAGCTGTCTCGGGATCCTGTGACCACGCTCATGTTTATAGAGCTCTGGTGAGCTCCCATGCAAACCATATAATTTCAGCTCCTCCCATCACTCATGTCATAAATTCAGCATTTAAATTGTTGCTATTTTTTAATTGAATTTATTCGGGGGGCATGGCAGACTTTATCTTCATTTCTTACAAGGACACCTGGGACACAGGCGTCAGCCAGGATGATCTGTCCACAACACAGCATTAAATAGAAAGCTAATGTCAAAATAACATGAGGGGGTGGCAGGTAAATGAGTGGCTATAGATAAAACAAGACTGGCCATGTGCAGATAATAATCATTACATTGGGTGTGGATACAGTGTTCATTACGTACTTTCTCTCTACTTAGGCATGTTTGAAATTTTCTTCAATAAATTTTAAAAATATATTTTTCAGCTAATATGGTTTGCCAATACATATGACTCCTAATGTAAAAAAAATAAAACCTATGCAAAACCCAGCTAAGACCGAGGAAGACGTCAGGCTGCTACCAAGCCTGTTGAGCGCGGACACCTGACCTCGACACACGGAGCCGTAGTTGACGCAGCAGTCGCCCTGGTCCCTGCAGTCATCTGAACAGGAGCAGAGGCTTCTGGACAACCTTTTCTCACCACACCTGAATTTGCTGCAAGTCCATATGTGCTCTGGAAGTAAATATCAATGAAAAATGTATGGTCCAAATTTAACACGTAACTATTGTCTCCTGGAGCAAGACCCGTAAATGACAACAAACTACTTCGTAACTACTACTCACTCCCAGAACCTGCCATCACAGGGGTCAGCAGAACTAACAGGCAGAGGACATGCAGGCAGCAGTTGTTATTATTTCAGTAAAACCCCAGAATCTCATCATTTTAAAATATGGACAAATAATTCTTATGATACAATTCATATGAAGATCTTGGCCAGTTATTTTCTGGGTTCTCAAACTTGAATCTAAATCTGGCTCACTCCCACTTAAATATTTATTATTCCATGTCATACGTACGGAAGTCCACATCAAACTGAGAAAAATCTCCATGTTCTGAAGGTTTTATTTTAAAGTTTAAGTGGACATCTAAGAACTCTTGCTTTAATAAGCCTCTAATGAAAATATGCATATATTATCATTTGAACTTGGTTTAAATGCAAATTAGACTATACAGGCTTTTGCATACATTAAAAATAGGCATAGTTTTGCTGTCCATACAGTGATTAATGTCAAAATTTGTGTAGTTTTTTTCTCTAAGGAAATATAAAAGCCAAATTTTTAAAAATCTCCAATGAGTTAGGTGAACCACATACGTAAAAGATGCAGAACCATCCTGTGACCTGTTACTAATGCCCACGACTATGATATTTACCTGGCTCTATACACGTCTCCTGGTAATCCAGACAGCAGTTTCCAAGTTCAACGCAAGCAGCATCACAGCGACAGTTCCCAAATGTTCTTTCAAAACAGCGACCTTTGCAACTTTTAACTGAAAATATTGACTAATGAGTTTGATGTTTTTAATCATTATAGAATTACAAAGCAAACATCAACGAATACACCTAATTTGGGTACAGAGGAGATTCAAATACTACTTTAGAAAACACAGATGGGATAGTAAAGTTACCTTAAGAATCTTCCACAAATATACACAGAAGTGGATACAAATAAAAGACAATCTGTGTACAGAGTTCATGATTTTCTCTCCTGCCATAGGAGGGTAAAAAAGGAACTTTTTTCTTTCACTTATAACACCCTACTGGGTCTGATGAGATTTAAATACTTCATGGTGTGGTAAAGAAAAGTCAGAATAGGGGCTTGTTCTGAAGGTTGGCTTAAACAGCCAATGTGGTCTCTAAAATTTCAAAATGTGAGATAAGATTTTTAAAGTGACTATGAATCTTTCAGAAAGAGAAAGAATAGCTGACATACCTTACTCCCAGCCTAGTGTAAAGGAGTAATGTCATCGTGCAGAACAAATTCTGCAGGACTGCTCCCCCGCCCATCACCATCTCCTTGAACACCCATTTGACGTTCACATCCAGTCTAGCTCCCCCTGGGAAGTTTTCCCAAACTCCTCAGTCTCAGTCCACTTTCCTTTCTTTTGTTAGAATATTTTTCTATTAGATAGAGTCGAAGGAAGGGAGCGAGAGAAAGAAACATCAATGTGAGAGAGATACATCATTTGGTTGTCTCCTGGATGACCCGACTAGGCCCGGGGATCAAACTGCAATCGAGGTATATGCCCTTGACCAGAACTGAACCCGCAACTCTTTGATCCATGGGCCGGTGCTCTAACCATTGAGCAATATCAGCCAGGGCCCCTTTCCTTGCTTTAGCTTTTATAAAATCTTATCCTTCCTCTCAGTCACTTAATTCTATGTGTAACTAGATTATTTGATTAGTATCAAAGTCTCACACTACACTACAAACTTCTTAAGAACAAAGACTACACCTAAATTTTGCTTGGCACAATGTTTCCCTTGAACCTATAAGACACATGACTATAATTGGTACTAATAAGTTTTTATTAAATGGATAAATGGCAGATATGGAAGAAAATTCTTTCCATTAAAAATAAAAATTTTATATACGCATGTATGCATGAACAGTGGACATGGACAACAATCTAGGGAAGGGGCAGGGAGGGGAGGGGGAGGGGGGAATCAGTGGGGGAAAAAAGGAGAATCATCTGTAACAAAAATTAATCAATAAAAAATAAATAAAAAATAAAAAAATAAAAAAAATAAAAATTTTACATTGTAACTCTTTAGTAGATATCTAGAATGACCTAGAATTTTATTAGATTTCTAAAAAATTGGGATGATGAGAAAAAATACACATGCAAAATAATGTAAGTCCAACAGAAGAAAGGAACAATCCTAGCTTCTTACTTTAACAGTCTCCTGACCCAACAAGACACCACTACAGAATTTAACTCTCATGAACTGGGAAATGTGGTAACTTTAAGGATATGAAATGACAATAATAATGTTTAGAATCAGAAGTACTTATTTTCCTGACCGAGAGTGGGGGAAAGCTCTTGGAATAATATCTATTATTTTAAACTCATTAATATGCACCTAGCAATTTTTTTAAGTACTATGCACACAATGTTTGGTTTAGACTAAAATTGCTATTTTTATGTGTCAAACTGAACTCAAAGTAAATTACTTCATGCCGAAAAACTACACAGGTGAACACTAAAGCCTGTAGATTCTTGCCTGGCCGGTATGGCTCAGTGGATTGAGCACAGTCCCACGCACCAAGAAGTTGCAGGTTCAATGCTGGTCAGGGCACATGCCCAGATTGCATGGGCTCTATCCGCAGCAGGGGGCATGCAGGAGGCAGCCAACTGACAATTTCTCTCTTACACTGATGTTTCTATCTCTCTCTCCCTCTCCCTTTCTCTCTCTAAAAAAATCAATAAAAAACAAATTTTAAAAAAGAATCTGTAGCTTCTTAATTTTTTATCTGAATACAGGCATACCTCATTTTATTGTACTTGGCTTTATTGTGCTTCACAAATGCTACATTTTTTTTACCAATTGAGGGCAAGATCCTCAACCAGCAAAAAAATGACAACTTGCTTTACTGCCATACTGGCCCTATTGCAGTGGTCTGGAGCCGAACCCGCAATATCTCTGAGGTATGCCTGTAGGTTGTTGACTAAATACATAAAATTACTACATTTCATCCATGTCAACAAGAAATTATAGCATAACAATCACTAAAAAATTTTTTTTAATCTTCACCCGAGGACATTTTTGTATTCATCTTCAGACAGAGTGGGAGGGAGAGAGGGAGGAAGAGAAACATCAATGTGAGAGAGACACACTGAGTGGTTGCCTGTGGGGATGAGGGGTTGGTAGGTGGATGATTTGTAACCTTGTGATATGCATTCTTGCAACCTGGCCAGCCTACGATCAAAGTGTGTGTGTGGACAGACAGGTTTGACTGATAGACAGAAAGACTAATTTGCTTGCATTGTATGCTTCTTTTACATGTGAATAAGATAAGGTTTGTATGACTATGGCTGGAACACTGCCTCAAGAGGACAAATGGGTCATAGGACTCAAGAATGTCTGGGTTTGTTATTTTTTAGTTATAAAATATCTTTCTGCCGTAAAAAGTGAGAAACAAGGTTAGGCTGTATGGTTTGCAGAGACACCATCTCAAGGAAATAATTTACATAAATCCACTTGTAACCTGGGGGAACAAGTCTGCAAATAAATGGGGCTGCGTCCAAAGATCTGAAGCATTTGCTCCCTTGCAAAGCTCCCTCTCACTCCAAACAGTGTGCTTGTAGTTCATTGCATTGCACCGATCCCAGTAGACTAAGAGAAGAGACACATTGAGTGGTTGCCACCCACACTACCCTAGCTGAGGTCAGGGACAAACTGCAACTGAGGTACATGCCCTTAGTGGGAACCGAACCTGGGACTCTCTGGTCTATGGGCCAAAGCTCTAACTGCTGAGCCAAACCAGCCACGGCATATCACTAAAATTTTTTAAATGATTAATATTACAATTACAGAATCATTGAGCAGGAGAAGAATTTTCAAAATTGAATTCTCTAGGAAGACCATCAGTGATTTTTGCAAGGGGAAAACAAACCCACCTCAGAGGCAAAATAATGACTACTACAAGGTACTGTGCGATTCAGTTTTATTATTTATAGTGTTCTTATGAATGCTGGATAATTCTACACTTGATATAAAGGAAAAAAAAAAAAAACATGTAGAAGCTTTAAAATACCACTATTGCTTTGAAACCACCAATGCCCACTATTTTAAAAGCAGGGACAGATAAGTTTCTGGTTGCCCAGGGATGCTGAATCGTCACCTTGCCATCCCTAGGGCTGCTTCAGCAGCTCTCTGCTCCCAGGAGCATCCCAGGAGCGCGTGCCGGGAAAGCCAGCAGGAGCGTGATACCGAAACCTAACGGCCATGTGTGCTTGTTTCTTTGTTACTAATTTATTTTCCATTGTTTCTGGGTTTTTCTGTTTGGCTGCTTTTTCCATCATAACCCCTCTTCTTTGTTTCCGGATGAAGTTTCGCAAATAAATAAAATATTATATAGCTAAAAGAAACACACACACACATACACATTGTAATAATTACCTTCTTTGGCACAGCTTGGTTTCAATCCAAATATACAACCAAGGATTGTTGTTAATACACAGACTGACAATACCTGTGGGGGGAAAAATGAAAATTATATAGCTTCAAAACCCTTTTAATTTCTTTCAGTTAAACTGGCTGGTGCTACTCTGTTTCCTGATCAGAGGGCTGGCTACACACTTGTGTTCACTTTGTGAAAATTCAAACTGCACACTTATGTCTTATGAACTTTTCTGTATGTATATTAAATTTCAACTAAAAGTCTACTTAAATGTTAGCAGCAAATCTATGCCATCCAAGATTAATGCTGCCAGAAATTTTCCAGTTGATGTAAATTAATCCAGTTAGAGGACTTGTAATAATTGAGACAGAGGAAGAGGAAAATCTAGTTAGAGACTCAGTTTCCTATTTGTGAATCCATAAAAGGCAATGAGAATAGTACGTCTCCTTTAACAGTTGAACTACACAAACCTGAACAGTATCCTCGTATGTTCTGGGCAGCTGGTGGGAACGTGCACTGGGCAGGGTTAGGTGACTACATCTCTGGTCCAAATGTCACCTCAAGGTGGTTGTAAGACTTGGGGCAAGTTACCTAAGCACCCTAGACAGCAATTTATTCATCTGTAAAATTAAAGGGTTGGCTACAGGGATCCCTAAAAAGATTTCTGGTTCGTTGACTACCAGCTTTGTGTAAGAGCTAAGTGATGCACTGAAGGAAAGAATAAGGGATTCCTCAGAGAGCTTCTACTTTTGTGGGAGAAGGTCAATATAACAGCCTAAATTGCTCATATTTGGTCGTCTCTACAAAGCAGCTGCAGAGTTTTATAGTTGTTTAAAGGAGAAAGTGTGGGCCCGGCTTTTGGGTGAACAGTACGTAGTGGCTTTTATGAACATATCTCTTCAAATAAACATGGAGTATTGACCTTATGCCAGTCCCTAGGTGAGGTACTGGCTACTCAGTAATAAAACAGACATGACCTCTGTCCTCAAGGCACCTACTCTTAGATGACTGCAAGAACTAAAGAGGAGGTGAATGGTAAGAAAACTGAAGCAGCCTAACTTATTAAAAAAAAAAAAAAAAAAGCCCAGCTGCTGTGGCTCTGTGTACTGAGCCTTGTCCCATGGGCTGGGAGGTCACCGGTTCAATTCCCAGTCAGGGCACATGCCCAGGTTTCAGACTCCATCCCCAGTGGGGGGAGGGGGTGTGCAGGCGGCAGCCAATTGATGTTTCTCTTTCACATGGGTGTTTCTATATCTCTCTCCTTTCCTCCCTATCTAAAAAATAAATAAAAATAAATAAAAGAAACTATGGGTAAAGGAAAGGAGAGCGAGAGTATCACAGGTCTAAAACACAACAGGGTCTAGGCCAGGACTTTTTTTTTTTAATTAAAAAACCTAAGTGCATTTATGTCCATTAAAATAGGAAAGCAGCCCGGTCAGTGTGGCTGAGTGGAGTGAGCATCCTCCCGTGCACTGAGAGGTCCCAGGTCTGTTCCCACCAAGGCACATGCCTGGGCTGCAGGCTCAATCCCCAGTAGAAGGAACGCAGGAGGCAGTGGATCAATGTTTCTCCCTCACATTGATGTTTCTACCTCTCTTTTCTTTCCTCTCTCTCTAAGAAAAAATCAATAAAAACACATTTTTAAAAGAGTAGAAAACCATCAGAAGAAGAGCTTGAACAAATGGCTGAAAACAGCAGCGACAGCACAAGGTACCAGAAGAGAGAACTATGGATTCTTCTAAACCATTGACGGTATGAATTGACACAACCATACAGAAGCAGAATTTCAAAGTATCTGTCAAAAATATTAAAAACTCTCTTACTGTCAAGTATAAATCTATAGGAAAATGAAGAAAATAGGAAAACTAAGCTGTATTTTTTTTTTAAATTTTGTTCTTCATTGATTTGAGAGAGAGAGGAAGGGAGAAGGAGAGAGAGACAGAAACACCGACGAGAGAGAACATCGACTGGCCGCCTCCTGCATGCCCCCCACTGAGGATTTGGCCCACAACCTGGGCATGTGCCCTGACCAGGAATTGAATTGGCGACCTCTTGGTGCAGGGGTCAGTGCTCAACTACTGAGCCACACTGGCCAGGCAAAAAGAGCCTGTATTTAATATACTATAATTTAAAACATGGAGAATTAAAATTTTATTTCTTGCTAATAAACTTTTCAAGAATAGTTTCAACAGTGTTTTATCATCTCATCCTATAACTTACAGAACAAAGTGAGAATCTTTTCTATGTCTTTGTGAATTGTCACATTCCTTTCTGAGTTTAGATCAGTTTCCGATGCATTGACTTTTCCCTTGCAATATCACAAAGTATCTCCAAGAGTTCCTTTACTATGAATTTTTGGCCAGTGTCACTTCCTCTGAGACATCTTCATTCTTTTCATCACAACCAGGCTCCTTATCTGTCAGTAAATTTGCCACTAAGTCCCTCTGGCTGCTTATCTAGAGCTCATTAAACAGCAGCAGTGCTAACATTCCATGGTTAGCTAGCTACTCCTTCCATCACCCCAATTATGTTCAATTTGAAATTCACTTCCAACCTCATCATTTTTATTTTCTTAGCCATTGGCTTAAAACATACATTGTATACGCACACCTTTACCCTCTTATTAAGCTGCAGAATAGGTCCACTGATTTTTTGAATGACCTCTTCTTTGCTGAATAATGTTACTTAGATTTACCTTTTATAAGATAAGGTATAGCAGGTTATTGAAAGAAAAGTACAAGAGAAGCAATCATGTCTCATCTATAGTCCCATCCATAAAAGACGAAGTTTAGATTACCTAATACTCCATTGGACATCACCCAACTAGAATAGTTTTCAGAAGGAAATTTCTCATCAACAATTTTGAGAGCTAAGAAATCTAATTCAATTTGAATTTTCTTCTCAAAGTAGTTTAATTCTACAACACAATAGCATAACTTCTTTATGAAGTAAAATTATGACTTCAAAACTTTATCTCCATTTCTAATTTATGGTAGCTTCCACAACCCATGCTCAACCTCATCAAATTAGATTTAAGAAATATTAATGCCTGCCTCTACTGTGCCAGGTAACATCGAATATGACGACTGTCTTACACAGGATGTCCTTTATCCTCACAATTATGTCAGCTTTGGCAAATATGAGAATGGTGATATTGTTTATTATCTAATTGACAGGTCTCAATTAAGGGTCAAAGAAATCATTCTAGCAGTATCTATCAACTTAACGACTAGCAGAGATGAAGACTACTATGATAGAAGAAAAGGTGCTGAAATAAAAATCCTGTAAGAGTTATCTTATAAAGTTCTAAGCAATGACTAGCAATTCATTAAAACACAGACACACACACACACAATGACAACAAACCCCAAATAGCTATGGTCTTGGTAGACATGGCCATTTGTTCCCAAAGCACTGCTTATAAGAGTAACGAAAGGGCCAGTCAGAAGGCTGATGACAACATACCAGAGGGAGCTCTATGGTGAGTTCCTTTGGCTCTGCACAGACCCAGACACTGAGCCAGAACTTGTCACTACCTGATAAAGCCCAGTTGCTAAAGCACTGCTAGGAATTCTGTTACACGCAAGCTAAGACACAAGCCACACCTTCCCCTCAGAGAGACTGTTTCTGTGGATGAAAAGAACCTCTGCTCTGTGGATACCAGTGTAGCACCTTCCACAAACACAAAAGGGGAAAAGGGAAAGATATTAAGTCCACAGAAATAAGCTTCAAAGACACATCACAGAAATTTTGTTTGACTTTATAAGAATCTACATCAACCCATTTTCCCCCCGTGATGATTAACAGACTTGCTGGGTGTACGCCATCCTTTCAAACAGTACTTGCTTCTAATTTATGTCAGAAATCGTGCCATGAATCCCGTGCCTCTTGTCAGTGGCACATGCTTTTCATATTTAACAAGTGGGAAAATCAGCAGCAGCAGGCTGAGTCTAAAAGACTTTACCAAAGTGGATTCTAGTTGTGAGTAAAGAGAATCATATTCACATTAAACACACACACACACACACACACACACACACACATACACAAACTTTTCTTTGGGATCTTCATGTTCTTTTTTTCATATCTTTTAAAGAAAAGAACAGAAGAAAAAGAGGAAGGTAGAGCAGTTTTATTAGGCACAAAATAGAAATTCTTAAATTATTATTATTTTAAATACTGGCTCTCTTAAAAGCTCTCATGTGTCATTCAGGAGCTCTGGGCTTTTAACCCTTCCTAAGTGAGAACGAAAGATAACAGCTGATACATAGTTTAAAAAAAATTCAGATATAACACTATATACATGAAACATAGAGAAGACAGTGTCCCCAATATAAATATAATATATATATATATATATATATTATCTAATATAAATCTCTTAGGAATAACTGATAATAGAAAGTGCAGTTAAAAAACTTATTTTGAGCCCTGGCTAGTTTGGCTCAGCGGTCGAGCGTCGGCCTGCAGACCAGAGAGTCCCGGTTTCGGTTCCTGCTAGGGGCACGTACCACAAGAAAAAAAAACAACAACTTATTTTGAGCCCTGGCTGGTTTGCTCAGTGGTTACAGCATCGGCCTGAGGACCAAAGAGTCACAGGTTTAATTCCGGTCAAGGGCACATCCCTGGGTTGCAGTTCAGTCCCCAGCCCTGGTCAGGGTCATGCAGGGGGCAACCAGTCAATGTGTCTCTCTCACATCCATGTTTCTCTCTCTCTCTCTCTCTCTCTCTGTCTCCTTCCCCCTCCCTCCCACTCTACCTGAAGATAAATGGAAAAATATCCTTGGGTGAAAATTTTTTTTAAAAATTACTTTGGCCCTGCCCGGTTTGGCTCAGCAGTTGTAGCGTCAGCCTGCGGACCAGAGAGTCCCACGTTCGGTTCCCGCTAGGGACACATACCAAAAAAAAAATCTGGGTAAAAAATTATTTTGAATAAGCACAGTACACATTTGGTTGAACTAGTCTCTTGGGAAGATAAAACTATGAGATTCTTTTCTAAACTAAAATTAATAGTCCAAAAAAGTTTTTTTGGCACCTTTTATATTTAAACAAATAGTCATTTCATCATTTCC